CACACTTTACATGTTATGTAAATACAGCGCACAATTGTTGGCCAGATAAACATTTACCTTAAAATGTGACACACAAAACTGTCGCCTATTTCATTGTTATCTTTGTATTATTCACCTGTTATAATATTACGGCCATGGATAGAGCAGTTGAGTATAACATAAGTTGCAGAATGCATTATACACGAGTATAAAGACACTGATACTCACGACTTCAACCTTTGGACCGACCGAGGCGAAGAGAATTTTTTAGCGATAAGATTACGTTTCTATAGCTTGGAGTTCGGCTACTAATGGCTAATAAATATTTGCACGCTTGGATTTAGGCTCAATGAAAGGAAATACGATCCCCTGCCTTTTACTAAGACGGTGATGTTCAGTGCAACCACTATTCTACAAATTCACTACACTGGTACCAATTTGAAAGGTTATGACATGTACATGCAGTCAGCATTTTAGATCAAATAATGACGAGATCTATGTCATGATAGTATTGCCCACATAGCGATATCTAATAGGGGTGGAAATGGGGGTCAATTGCCTTAAATGTTAAAATAACATTTTTATGTTGCCAAAATCCCCCCTTTGCAGCATTATTTTTGCTACCCTGGAAGTGAGCTTTTGTTCCAGGATCTTGTAGTATCGTGATGTTTAGTATGGACAGAGTATACTAAATCTGCATGTATTATTTTGGTGTTCTCTCTTAAGGTTTGTGTTGACTGCTGCATAATGTCGACAGTCAGCCAGGAGACGATAAATGAGTTATGAACGGCACAGAGAAAGACAGCGGACAGTTCTAATCAGATTCCAGCAACCTGCCGTGAATACTAATTCTATTAGCATTTTTTCTGGCAACAGACACTCTTAAGAATCTAATTTTCTCCCACTAAATCTTGCCCATTAACATCATTTTAAGTATACGACATATAAAACGTATGATATTAAAGGGTTAATGCACTGCCCCGAGTTGTATATGGTGTCATAACTGCATGAGCAGCTGCCATAACCACCGAATAAACCACCGTGTGAGCGAAGCGAACGAGGTGGTTTATGAGGTGGTTATGGCAGCTGCCCATGCAGTTATGACACCATATACAACGAGGAAAAGGCAGTGCATTAAAATTATTATCATATAGCCTATCCAAACTGTCAATCAACACAATTCCTGTTTGAAATACAACAGCTTTAATATATATACATACATAAAAATACATTCGAATATATTATACGCTTTAAAACAAATATGGATAATTTCATTTAATGCAAATTGTAGTTTAAATGAAGCTAAACAAAAAAGTTTATTGGACAGAAAAATGCTACAAAGGTTTACAGAAAGAGTCGCATGCCCCTATACCCTATAACATAATGGTATCAGCCATAACACGACATGTGCTGTTATTCCGCCATAACACCACATGTGCTGTTATCGGGAAATAACAGCACGGGTATCCGGGCCTCTGATTGGTCCGCGCCGTCCGGCTATATGATAATTATGGTTATATGTATACGAGTCGCTGTAGATTAGCACATAAGTTATGTTTTTCTTGAGTATCTTTATGTATTACTAACAGAAGAATAAGTGCTATCTCTAAATGTGCCGTGCTGTGGTTTCAGTAGCCTTCCGTTTACAAAAAATATCAAACTCGCTATATGGAGTCACACACAGTGTAACACATACGTCGGTGAAGGTTAGACATCCAGGTAATAAGACTACGCTCATAAACAGTTACTCAAGCAACTGGATATGATTTTGGAAACGGTCTGACGTTTCAGGTAGCATCCACTACCTTTCGTTAGTGACACTAAGAGACTGCAGGAGAAATGCAGGTTTATAAGCACTAACTATTAATTTATATTGAGTGTAGCACATACTTTATCATGTAATAATGTAGACGTTCTTACCTTAATGGTCGTCACGTCCTTTGTGTGTGTTCTTCGTTCTAGATCCCTCGCGAATGAAGCACCTCTGATTGTGGAATGGTGTGTAATATTAAAGGTCACCCTAGACTGAACACTGGTAGTCATGTACTATTCATGAGGCGTTAGACTTGCCATGTCACCCTCTATGGTGTTACTGTGTGCCCCCGGGCGCCATTGTGTACGCCGGTGTGGCACCTGTCCGTTGCTATGGGTGACACGTCACGTAAAGGTTAAAGGTCATGGAACAAAGACTACGAACACGAAAAGCTGCTGGTCGGGCGATACCATTGAGCACAAAGTTTATCATAAAGGGGTGTACGTGTGAGATGTAAGCCTTGTAGACGTATATTGCGCAGTGGAATCAGTAGGAGTGACACGGCGTTGTAATGTATGGCGAGAGGCACACTAAATCCATTAAACACTTGAATCCATTAAAACAAGGTTTATTGTCATAGCTTGAAAGTCAATCTGTGTTCATCATTTCTAGATAAAGTCATGATAGAAAATAGGACAAGCTTCAAATGCAGCAATCTATTTCACTAGTTATGATGTGAATGTGGACTAGCATGTACGTCGACTCCCAGTGTCAACGCCCATACATTTCGCCATCTACTGATAACACTTAGTATTGCAGGCATTATCCTGTGGGAGAACCGGAACACCCACACAATTAAACATTAGATAATAATGCATAATGACAGCATGTCACTTCTCCCATAATTATTTTAGCATTAGTCGGTACCACGAAAATCGCTACATTTATGAGTATATCATTTAGTAATACGGAATTGAACATACATAACTGTCATATATCTACTTTACGTAAACGTGTCCCTTAGGGACTACTAGATGTCACAATATCGCTTCCAAAGCGTACTAGAGCATCACTGCAAGCATATATACTATATGCTACATATAGGTTTCTTCATTCTAATGAAGCTATAGGCTTAGATAGGACCACCAACAGTCTTCTCTTGGACACTTTCAACATTTGACCTGAAACGCCCTGCCCTGCCGTTTGCTACTTACGGAACTCCCTATGGCAATTCCTGTTCATTAATTCAGCCGGGTCTACTGGGTGAAAAAGCGAGAGGAAGTCTACATTGTACTTTGAGATTTCGTCGTAACTTTACATTGTATAAAATTTTGCTGGTGGAGTTAAAGCGGTCATTTTCGCAAGAAATTAAAATCAAATTGTGATAAAAGCTATATTTTAGCCTCTTCAGATTTTGGAAAGAGTAGCTCAATGTGATGGTAGATAGGATCTATTTTTTAAGGTGAAATGTTAAAAGGTCAAAGATCTGAGTCTGTTGGTAGGTTTGTGCCTATTGTCTACTCCCGCGGGGTCGCGCAGGTGTAGCCCACGGGGATGAACTCCTGTGCCCGCTGCCACTGGTCGTCCCCGTCCCGGGCCCACACGTTCAGCTTGTACATCACGGGCAGACACACCGTCCCCACCCGCCGCACTCCGTTGTCAAGACAACGGTCGTCATCGTCTGTTCTCTCCGCCATGGTGATGGTGTGGGGGAAACGTGTGGCGTTAAAGTTGTGTTCGTACCTGAGAATTCAAAAGAAAGTGTAAGTTTTACATTTGTACTAACCTGGTATCCAGTTTACCGTGATTAGGGCGAGTTTTCTACGGGGCTGCTGAAGCTCTTCCCCGGCCGCATGAGCTAGGTTCCCCCGGTCTGTTGTACTGGGCGGGGGGAAACTATTAGAGCCCTGAAGGCAGCCTGCCCTAACCACGATAGACTGGATACCAGGTTATATTTTTACATAATAGATGGGACACAAAAAAACGTAAACCTTACGTCCAGGGACACAAAAAATATAAAACTTACGTCCAGGGACACAAAAAATGTAAACCTTACGTCCAGGGACACAAAAAATGTAAAACTTACGTCCAGGGACACAAAAAATGTAAACCTTACGTCCAGGGACACAAAAAATGTAAAACTTACGTCCAGGGACACAAAAAAAATAATTTAACTTACGTCCAGGAACACATGGCCCGTCCGGCGGCGTCGTTGTCCCACGGGACAGGCGGGTGGGACAGGTAGCTGTGGAAGTGGGGCGGCAGGTCTTCCGTGCTCCTCCGCACCCGTCGGGACAGGCTCTCCGGCACTCCGGAAAACTCGTCCGAACTGTCCCCTCCAGCCCTCTGGGCAGGTATCGCCAGGCAAGTCAAAGGCGAGGCAACAAGGAAGAGTAGAAACAGGGAATACTGTAGGAAAATGTGAGCAGAGAGATTACTAGTAGTTAGTTTTCAGCATTTTTCGTTGACATTCATTTAGTTTTGCACTTAAGATCTGTAGATAAGGACCACTAGTTATCCTTGCCTTCATATATCTCTAAAGAGACTCTAAAGATATATGAATCTAAATTGGTTCTACCCTTTTTGTCAAATGATTTTCAAAGGCCAGCGTACAACATACAATCTACAGTATTCTATTTTCAATGGCAGTTGCTGAATTGGACTGAGTACATATATAGGAATTCTACTTCGACTGTTAAAACTCACCGTGGAACTCATGTTGATCTTTCGGTACTGTTCGCCGCTCAAGTTCTTCTCTGTCGGGTACGTTGTTGAGGATGATGTTGTCTAGGATGATGTTGAGTTGACTTCGAGATGAAGGTCTAACGTTGGTTTGAAAGTCGAGCTTATATATACTTGTAAGATGCTGCGATGGGTGCTATATCTACTTCGGTACATGAGTCATTTGAGAAAGGGACATCCCCCATATCAATTGTCTGTCGTGTCTTCTTCATTTCCTTGGTGGGCGGTTTTCAATTTAAAAACCACAACAGGTGCATCCCTTCGAAACACTTCCGCTAAGTGAAGTAAGTTACGTGGGCGTGATCACGTATTCGATATGAAACTGGGTATTTTATCATTTTAGCTATGACACATCACTTAATATCTTTTCTATTTTATCGAACTCCTGCACAAGAAGACATTTTGTTCCTCTTTATTGATTAATTTTTATCAGACATTTTCGTACAATTATGTAAATCCGTTTGCGTCACCAATGTATTATTTTAAAAATAAGTGAAGATGATTTCTCGATGCCAGGAAAATATCCTCTAATCTTAGAACTATTTAAAGCGCAGAAGTTATTATTTAGCAATTTTGGTAGATTTTCCATATTTCTTATAGGCTGTATTATCAATTTTATAACAGGTATTGCCTTTTTCTATCTTTATTTGTTACGTAAAACGTGACGCCCGAAATCAGCACTGTTGTCTGGATAGTCCACTGTATTGTGACGTTGCAATTTCAATAAATATTCTTTTTTAAACCCTTCGAAACACCGGAAGCTGTCGCGTGTCTCAAAATTATATTAATCGTTGCCCCAAGGGCTTGTAAGCCAACTGGTCGAGTAACTCATTTGCGTTTACCTGACCTGAAATAATTCCACTCGGTTTACTAAGGCCGCGGCAAGTAATTTGTATGGATGGCTTTAATTTGCGTCTGATTTTGGACAACAAAAAAAAACAAGAAATTTTGTTGCCCTCTGCCAAAAATAGGCAAAGATGTCTGATGCCATGTCGGAACGTGGATGGCAGATAAATATGAAGAAAAGAGACATGGATTTATTTTGTGTTTTACTTGTAGTGATGAACTTTTGTATTTAATGTTTCCACTTTACAATGATTTAAAACTTTTATTTCTCAGTGGCAAGTGGGTGTTGTAATAGTCGGCAGCAAACTTAGCACGATATAGATATCATCATATCTTCTTTAGGTTCATGATGTGAAAATTTGAAAATGTACGTAGGAATCTTTCTTTTTTTGGCCCTCCTTTCCCCTGTCGCATTAGATTTGGAGTCTACGGAGGATGTCATCCATAGAATGTACTTGTTGTGGCCTAATTAAAGCCAGTGACATTTTCCCGACCAATCAGGCCACGTGTTACAACGTTCGCACTGAATGTCTATATTTAGCCAGTCCCCGTGACGCTTTCTATGCATATCACCTTCGTAGTGAATTTTACAAAGGAAGTCTGTTGTTTTAGTTGTCAAGCGTTTAAAATTTTGTATAACGCACTGCATAGAATCTTTCCACAGTTTACACCATTTTTGTTGAATACCACAAGTGTATTTACAGATTCACTGGTACCACGTTGCAATTAAGTGTATATCATTAGAAAAGCACGGCCCCTTTATTCATATGCCTCAGGGTACTACCTTTTTAGGCATTACTTGTGCACAACTTATTCCACGAAAAGGAAGTATATTAAAATTAGATTTTTCTGGCTTCCTTTTTTGTCAATATATAATCATGTCTTTAAATTAATATAATGCATAAGCCTAGCTTGCGTTTCGAGCTTTTTCCTAGGAAATTCGGTGGGAGTGTCACAACTTATGTGGAAGCCAGTAACACCGGAACCTTGTTCTGTTTCGATGAAAAAAATCTTAAAAAAAGATTAAATAAAACTAAGTATTGACGCAGAGTTAAATCAATTAATCCATATTGATTCACATCAGAACTTAATTATGAGTCAGAAGATTTTGATACAGGTGAATTTCTTTTAATAAATCAGGACTGGGAAATTCGGCACACTACATAAATTTTGCGTCATGCTAATACTTACTTAATAGAAAATATTCTATTCATACACAGGAAGATAACATTTGTGAATTTCCTTTTGGAAAAACAAAGTTTTAAAGATATCCTCTTGCAATGTCAAGTTAGTCCGAGAGTCCAAATGCTGGAAATAATATATTAATAATAATAACCGTTATAATAATAACCTTTATTGTACATTCATGCCCTATCGGGCTAAGTACAGGTCAACAGATGAAATAGGTAATATACACGTTTGTAGTACAAACCGTCAGTTTTAACTTACCAGATGACCACATTTCAACGGTTAAATTAATTGCAATATATGTGTTGCAAAACAACATTTCACACACGTGCATATGTGCATTTCAAGTAGAGAAACGACCTCTTCTATCTGGTGGTACGTAGTTTCTTATATACCGACACTTTCTTGCCTGCTCCCATGCAGATGCAACGCTCCTTTCTAGGTCACATTTGACGATTCTTCTCGGTAAAGGCGGCCTTCTTGTCTTCAAGTGCCCCTGAGAGAGCCGTTCAAAGACGTTTGGCAGGCGATTCTTTTGACCTTCACTGTCGTACATTTTCTGTGGTACTGGCGACAGTGAGAGTTGATCTTGGGTCACCCTTTGAGGGGTTTCTGTGCGAGATTTCACCAGGTCTCGTTCTTTCTCGCGTGACTTCTGTAGCCACATTTTCACACGACATTTGACGCCATCTGACAAATTCTTTGGCAGATCCGTCTTCAATCTGCCCTCCAAAAACTCTGAATCCGAGGAATCACACGGTTTCTCTGATACACATTGACGTGGCTGTATTCTGAGTATTTCATTAGCATATAATTCTGTCACAAGAGGCGTGTATTTCGTCTTTACACTGTCTTCTTGGTCCGAAAGATCAGTCTGAAAATACACGGGGGTCGACTGAGAGGACCCGGTGTCGAGACTGTCCGTGGAAGTCGCCCGCTCGCGAGACAAAACCTGCGCGGGATTCGGACTGGGAACCAGCAGAGAGGGATCCACATTTGACATTGAGGCAGACCTTGGGCGACGCCTCACGCGGCTTTCGCCTGTTGTAGTCTTTAGATTAGTCATTGTCTTGGCTCTGCCACGTTTTGAAGATTTGCATCCGCTCTCTGACAAGTTGTCATTAGGTACCTCTGTACTGAGAGCAGAAGGGCTGCTGGGTAAGACGTAGTGCGGAAGCGAATTGCTCTGTTGTTTTACCGAACTGGGCCGCATGGAGTCCAAACAACTGGCAACCGGTGACACCTGTTAAAGATGTGAATCACTCGGTATAAGAAAAACAATATCCTACCATGTGTAGTGTAACAACGTACAGCCCATATCTTTCTTTATGTTTACCTTTACAGAAGAACACATATTTTTTCTCAATTTCTTTTTCTTCGAATTCCATTCTGAACAAATAATTTCAATGACCTGGGCCAGACGCTTGTCACCATGGTAACTAGTGCTGTAGCAACACCCTATGGTGTTAAGTTACACTATGTAGCAGAAGAGATTTGGAAAGCCTGCTCACCCTACATGAATGTGTTTGAGTAAGGATAAACAGTGCAGTATTTTGTTGGGCTAGACCAGGTGAAGGTAAACATAATGTATTTGCTTTGCAAATGTTACCTTTCTACTAAGTTTTGTACTACGTTATGTTAGTATCCGTTACCTGTGTTTCTCTGGAGTAAGTCGTCCTGGTCAGAGACAGAAATTCGACCTCACAGTCGTCGCCATGTTCGTCCGTCACCACGATACCTGTCGGTAAACGTAGTCCCTGATTTGTAGCCCCGGATAGCCCCCGAGACCTTAGCTCCATCCGCATTCTCCTCAAGTCACTGTGTAAGGAAACAATGAAAGCAACCTTCATATCATCAAGGAGGTTATAGGCTAAGGTTCTGCAACGGAGCTTCCGGTTTCCATATCTCAAAATATGTTCTGGTCATAAATTAAAGGTCATCATCATTTGGTTCGATCCTAATTAAGACTTCTTAAGTCTTTAAACCTATAACGTCAATAGCAACGTAAACCAATCAACTATGCAGTAACTGTACACGGTAATATATATTTCATTTGATACATAAAACATGACTTGTGTACAAAATCCCAGCAACAAAGGGCGATCTCATATTATGGCCAATGTATCTCTTAAGAATTTGACTCATCCCGTGTTTTTCACTGTTTTGGGCCATATGATATAGAATTTGGTACTTTTTCTAGTATTGTATTATATAACAGTTAACCGCCTCCTGTACATCTGATTGGGGATTACAGACACATACCTTCGTAATTCTCTCTCCATATTCCTCAGTTTAATCTTCGACTCCCTTTCTTCAAACTCCAGAAGATCTAGCTGCTTCTTAAGTTTTTGTTCCTCGAAAAACATGGCGGCCCGCCGATGGTGCCACAGCATGTTGTTGTTGCTCGCCGGAGCGGACTTTCTCCTGGTGTGCAGACGTTGGTCCTTCTGTGGGTGTAGCGGACGTTTTTCCTGCAGTGCTAGCAGGCCGCCAGCGTCTGTTTGCCAGTCCGTAAACATTCTCCTTCCACCAAAAATCCGAGGAAGCTTTGCAGATTAATAAAACGTTGATGCTAAGTTTCCTCTACGCTGATTTTTGCTTAGCGGTGCACACAGCGACACACAAACAGATTTTGAACCGAATGACTTCGCTGTGGGGTCCTTGGCGACGTAAAATGTGCAAATTACGACATTTTTCTAGAAGGGATCGTTTTGTATTCTCGACGCCATACCAACATGCAAATTGATACAACCGTTATGATATTACTTACAAATAATCCATACCTTCATAAGTAATCTCATTCAGATCGACTACAATACATGCATCTCATTTCTCGAAACCTAAAGGCTACGAAGGTATTCTTTCTGTGACAAATAAATGGTTATCGTCAGTGATTTTTTCCTTACTTTGAGGCAAGCCCGAGACAGATGCAAATGGCGGACCAACTTCGCGTTCCACAGCGTTCGCTCATCGTTGCCATGGAGACACTAAGTACCAAGGCGCAATGGAGGAAAACAGAACTCTGGCAGGGAAGCCGAATGACATTTTGATTGATACCGCTAAACCTGAGTATTTCTAATAAGATTTTCGTGTATTCACAACTGTTAGATCCTTTATAAGTGGAAAGTTATATGCGCTTAAATGATTACGACCGAATCACCAATGCCTTTATCTTATTCGTAAACACAACAAAACAGTGGTAAGCTGGATGTATACGTAACTTTATTCATAATACTGAGTGCACCAATGCACCAACGCAACACTTAGTCTTCATGCTTTGTTTTTGTCATGCCCTAAGTTAAAATATTTAATCCGACACAAACAAATTCTCCCAATTAGAGCTTTCGACCAGTCATTCTGGTCTTCCTCAGTAGACTGACCCCTTGAGTGTTTTATTATGTTAGCCATGTGTTTCATTATCTTAGACATAAACGTCTTGTGTGATCACATCCTAATACTACAGAGACTTCCTGGTTATATACCAGTAGCATGTAGACAGTATTGTGTTGTTGTGGCATAGCAGCTAAGCCTAATGCTCAGAATATCTTCTTGCACTGTTATCTTAACATGCTGAATGAGACTACAGTAATTGTGTATGTTCACATTTTCGTTACAAACAGATCAATATGTCTCATAAGACAGGACGCATGAATTCTTCCGTTGGTTCCCGGACAAGTTCAAATTTAGCATGTCGGCAAATGTCAGCATTTTTTTAATTCAGTGCTAACCAACTTCCAAACTTGTGATACCGTAGACCATGTTGCACTGGACCCCTCCGTCCCCTTTAGTAAACATGCGTGCCGTCTGGACTACAGACTCTAACCCGGATTCCCTGACAAGCTCCATGGCGCTTTCGTTTGTCTCAGGGACGTCGATGTAGTAAGGAACTCCCGGTGGTACAGTAGCTACCAGGGCGTCAAACAGCTGCGAACCAACCGCTGTAGATTCAGCAAAGATGGGGCCAATTCTACGGGCAAAGTTGACATCCTGGTAGCTTTCAAAGCTCAGACGAATGCACCCGTAGCCGGCAATCCTGGTCTTTTGGCTGTGCTCGTCGTCTTCACCAGCCGGAGTGGTTGTTATAGCGGCCAGGGCGACCATGCCAGGCTGCGAGATCCAACTCTTCAGAAAAGTTGGTCGCGGTGTACCAAACACTGACGCATCGAACACACAGAGATGCTCGAAGTCCACCTCTTTGACAGAAACAAGAGACACCGGATTGTCGTCTTTTTTGACGCCTTTGATGTTGTTGCTGCCAATCCCCCGAAATCGAGTGTCTTTCCATGCGAACTTGGCTCCAATCATCCTGCTGTAAGTATCTTGCATATTGATCACACTGTCTAACCCGATGTTTCTGTCAGACATGCCTGATGCTTCAGTCACGGCCTTGATCATTCTCCGTGCATATCCCTTTCCACGGAATGGGGGCTTGATGATGACATAGCCTAAAAAGGCAACGCTTTCCCCGTATTTAACCAACGCGGTGCTTCCTATAGGCACGCCATGAAGTTCAGCCAGGTAGAAACCTGTGGGATCCTGGCCGAAGAAGGTATCTGCATCATAAACGCCCGGGGGAAATCCTTCGGCCACTGCCCACTCCAGTATAAGGGACACTTCCGACGGGGACGTCACTTGGCGGACACGGAAAGTGTCAGGACTGTCGCCGGTCTCTGGTTTTGTGGCTCTCGAATCTTGAAACATATTGAAGACTGGGTGTACTTTTACCTTGAAATATGTAATGACATGAAACCGTAAGATGACAAACATGTAGCCTGGTGTAACCTGGTTTATCGCTGTTTGGCGGGTTCTCTTCGGGGTTGCAGAAACTATTCCCCGCCCGACTCAGCTAGGATCTATCGTGGCAACCCTTGGCATGCAAAACGCCTACAGGCGTAACACTCCTACCAGGCGGTCTCAAGTTGAGCTTGACGGGGGGTGGGGGGTGGGGTGGGGGTGATTACAGCCCCGAAGACAACCTGTCCCAACCTCGATAGACTGGATACTAGGCTAACAAACAAGCGGTATGTTATTTTTGAAAGTACATGTATGCTACCCTTGTCGTCTAAGAGCAGGTCAATGAACTTGTCACATGGGGACCTTTGATCAGTCACGTACTTTAAGCCTCTTGCAGACAAAATGGCGCCTACCTTATGTTTGATCAAACAAACATGTACGCTTGACGCTATTCAAGACCAAGTTTATACGACAAAATGAAGCTCTTGCCACACTGGTCCAAAGTCCGACGTGATTTTATAAATTATCATTATGATGTTATGCATTGGTATCTGAATATGACAAGGGAAACTAGTTACGTAAATAACTGCAAAGCTGGAGTCTGTAAACCCCAACAGAAAACGATTGAAAAGCTTTTTGGTCTTCTTTGCATGTTGACAAGTGAACTTACTGAGAACAGTTAAGTTCCAAAGAACAGACAAGATAGGTCTAACGTCTATCAAACATTTAAAAAAAGTATGTGCACATTCACACGGCAAAATAAAGCATTACTTCACCCAACCGACGCTTATGGTACTATACTAATTTAAGGCTAACTTCATTAAGTACTTAGTACTCGTATTGGTATAAATCTTTGACTTGATCGATCTATCATTTACGATTCCACAAATTCCTAGTTAACGCCGTTGTACTTCTACAAAGAGGTCCCTTTTCTTCATAAACTGTTCAGAATCAACACTCACCCAATGATCGCAGGTGGTACCCAAACAGATGCCTGCGTGTTAAGCGACCCTTGCGACAACGTGACTCCGGATCGATCGACGGGGTTCACTACACTGGCATGCTGATTCACGGGGTCCAAATAAGAACCCGATTGTCATTATCAATGCGAAAATTAAATGTCATAATACACTTGTGATAAATGTTTGAATTCTACTAATGAACAGGACTATTACACATACATGCCGCATAGCTACATCAGGAATGGTACTAGACACCCCCTTCCCTTTCAAGTGTCTCAGCCCAGAGTTGAAAGGTTACCTGTTAAAGCAAGGGTGGAGTCAGTGACCGGTCCCTGCCTATGTACATGTAGCAGCACCAAACTTAATTACAGCATGACAACTGACAGGCTTTATTTCTACACGTACATTACCAATTGTTATTCTGAAAGCACAAGATCCAAGACATAAACTTCTTGTGTCATCACAACCTAATATACTACATAGACTTCCTGGTTATATATAATCGAGTAGCTTGTAGACAGTACTGTGTTGCTGTGGCATATAGCAGCTAAGCCTAATGCTCAGAATATTTTCTTGCAGTTATCTTTACAATTACTTGCTGAATGAGACTACAGTAATTGTGTATGTTCACATTTTCGTTACAAACAGATCAATATGTCTCATAAGACAGGACGCATGAATAATTCTTTCGAGCAAGCCACACCAATTTGTTCCGTTGGTTCCCGGACAAGTTCAAATTTAGCATGTCGGCAATAAAAAAAGCATAGGACATAGGGGAAACTTGAATATGACTTTTTTCATTTCATGGTATGAGGTTGTGAACCTTTTCATCGTGATTTTAGAATTAAGCATTTTTTTAAATCCAGTGCTAACCAACTTCCAAACTTGTGACACCGTAGACCATGTTGCACTGGACCCCTCCGTCCCCTTTAGTAAACATACGTGCCGTCTGGAATACCGACTCTAAACCGGATTCCCTGACAAGCTCCATGGCGCTTTCGTTTGTCTCAGGTATGTCGATATAGTAAGGAACTCCGGGTGGTACAGTGGCTACCAGGGCGGCAAACAGCTGCGAACCAACCGCTGCAGATTCAGCAAAGATGGGGCCGATCTTACGAGAAAAGTTGACATCCTTGTAGCTTTCGACGCTCAGACGAATGCAGCCGTAGCCGGCAATCCTGGTCTCCTGGCTGTGCTTGTCGTCTTCACCAGCCGGAGTGGTTGACCAGGTTGTTACAGCGGCCAGGGCGACCATGCCAGGCTGCGAGATCCAACTCTTCAGAAAACTTGGTCGTGGCGTGCCAAACACTGACGCATCAAACACGCAGAGATGCTCGAAGTCCACCTCTTTGACAGAAACAAGAGCCGCCGGATTGTCGTCTTTTTTGACGCCTTTGATGATGTTGTTGCTGCCAACCCCTCGAAATCGAGTGTCTTTCCATGCGAACTTGGCTCCAATCATCCTGCTGTAAGCATCTTGCATATACATCATACTGTTTATCCCGATGTTTGCGTCAGACATGCCTGATGCTTCAATCACGGCCTTGATCATTCTCCGTGCATATCCCTTACCACGGAATGGGGGTTTGATGATGATATAACCCAAAAAGGCAAAGTTTTCCCCGTGTTTAATAAGCGAGGTGCTTCCTATCGGCACGCCATGTACCTCAGCCAAGTAGAAACATGTAGGATCCTGGCGGTAGAAGCTTTCTGCATCATACACGCCCGGGTGCCATCCTTCGATCGCTGCCCATTCATACATAATAAGTGACACTTCAGACGGGGACGTCACTTGGCGGACACGGAACGTGTCAGGACTGCCACCGGTCTCTGGTTCTGTGGCTCTCGAATCTTGAAACATCTTGAAGACTAGATGTTCTTTTACCTTGAAATGCAATTACATGAAATCGTAAGATGACAAAGCCTGGTGTCCAGTCTTATCGCTGTTGGGGCGGGTTCTCTTCGGGGCTGCAGTAGCTCTTGCCCGCCCGATATATCTAGGTTCCCGGTAGGTTATGCACGACGGGAGTTCAATAGGGTGGGTGGGGCTAATCAACTCAAGCGTGCAAAATCCCTAGGCCTGCAGGCACGCAACACTCATAACGGGCGGTCTCAAACTGAGCTGGACAGGGGAATTACAGCCCCGACGACAGCCTGCCCCAAACAAGATAGACTGGATACCAGGCTAACAAGGTCTTTTTTAAGTATGCTACCCTTGTTTTCTAAGAGCAGGTTGAACGTCTCACATGGGGTCCTTAGATCAGTCACGTACTTTAAGTCTCTTGCAGACAAAATGGCGCCTACCTTTTGTTTGATGAAACAAACATGTACGCTTGACGCTATTCAAGACCAAGTTTATACGACAAAATAAAGCTCTTGCCACACTGGTCCAAACTCCGACGTGATTTTATAAATCATCATTATGATGTTATGCATTGGTATCTGAATATGACAAGGGAAACTAGTTACGTAAATAACCGCAAAGCTAGAGTTTGTAAACCCCAACAGAAAACGCTTGAAAAGCTTTTTGGTCTTCTTTGCATGTTGACAAGTGAACTTACTGAGAACAGTTAAGTTCCAAAGAACAGACCAGATAGGTCTAACGTCTATCAAACATTAAAAAAACGTATGTGCACATTCACACGGCAAAATAAAGCATTACTTCACCCAACCGACGCTTATGGTACTACACTAATTTAAGGTTACCTTCATATTTAGTACTCGTATTGGTATAAATCTTTGACTTGATCGATCTATCATTTGAGATCCCACAAATTCCTAGTCAATGCCGTTGTATTTCTACAAAGAGTTCCCTTTCTTGATAAACTGTTCAGAATCAACACTCACCCAATGATCGTCAGTGGTACCCAAACAGATGCCTGCGTGTTAGTGACCCTTGCGACAACGTCGTGACTCCGGATCGATCGACGGGGTTCACTATACTGGCATACTGATTCACGGGGTCCAAATAAGAACCTGATTGTCATAGTCAATGCGAAAATGTCCTAATACAGTTGTGATAAATGTTTGAATTCTGCTAATGAACAGGACTTTTACACATACATGCCGCATAGCTACATCAGGAATGGTACTAGACACCCCCTTCCCTTTCAAGTGTCTCAGCCCAGAGTTGAAAGGTTACCTGTTAAAGGAAGGGTGGAGTCAGTGACCGGTCCCTGCCTATGTACATGTAGCAGCACCAAACTTAATTACAGCATGACAACTGACAGGCTTTATTTCTACACGTACATTACCAATTGTTATTCTGAAAGCACAAGATCCAAGACATAAACTTCTTGTGTCATCACAACCTAATATACTACATAGACTTCCTGGTTATATATAAACGAGTAGCGTGTAGACAGTACTGTGTTGCTGTGCAACATATAGCAGCTAGGGCTAATGCTCAGAATATCTTCTTGTTCTTTCACTGTTATTTTCATATGCTGAATGAGGCTATCTGTAGTAATTGTGTATGTTCACATATTCGTCACGAACAGATCTACATGTCTCATAAGACAGGATAGATGAATAATTCTTCCCAGCAAGCCACACCAATTTCTTCCGTTGGTTCATTTTAAAGTCGAAATATAGCAGGTCCACATTATAAAAGTATAGGACAGAGTGGAAACTTAAATATGACTGTTTTCACTCCAAGGTATGAGGTTGTGGAATTCCAGTTTTCATCATGTTTTTACATTTAAGCATTTTTTTAATACGGCCTGTATATTTCAGTCCTAACCAAGTTCTAAAGTGGTAACACCGTAGACCATGCTCCATTTGACTCCTTCGTCCCCTTTGGTAAACATTCGTGCTGTCTGGAATACCGACTCTAAACCGGATTCCCTGGCAAGCTCCATGGCGCTTTGGTTTGCCTCTGGCACGTCGATGTAGAAAGAAACTCCCGGTGGTACAGTAGCTACCAGGGCGGCAAACAGCTGCGAGCCAACCGCTGCAGATTTGGCAAAGATGGGTCCGATCTTGCGAGGGAAGCTGACATCCTTGTAGCTTTCGACGCTCAGACGAATGCACCCGTAGCCGGCAATCCTTGTTTCCTGGCTGTGCTCGTCGTCTTCATCAACCAGAGTGGTTGTTACAGCGGCCAGGGCGACCATGCCAGGCTGCGAGATCCAACTCTTCAGAAAACTTGGTCGTGGCGTGCCAAACACTGACGCATCAAACTCGCAGAGATGCTCAAAGCCTACTCCTTTGACAGAAACAATAGCAGCCGGATTGCCATCTTGGTTGACGCCATTTATGTTTTTGGTGCCAACCCCTCGAAATCGGGTGTTTTTCGATGCAAACTTAGCTCCAAACATCCTGTTGTAAACATCTTGCAAATGGGTCACACTGTGTAATCCGATGTTTCCATCAGACATGCCCGATGATTCAATCATGGCCTTGATCATTCTCCGTGCATATCCCTTACCGCGGAATGCGGGCTTGATGATCAAATTGCCCAAAAAGGCGAGGTTTTTCCGGTATTTAACCAACAAAGCGCCCCCTACGGGCATGCCATGAAGTTCAGCCAGGTAGAAACCTGTAGGATCCTGGCGGTAGAAGCTTTCGGCATCATATAGGCCCGGGTGCCATCCTTCGGCCGCTGACCACTCCAGCATAAGGGCCACTTCCGACGGGGACGTCACTTGGCGGACGCGGAAAGTGTCAGGACTGCCGCCGGTCTCTTGTTCCGTGGCTCTCGGATCTTTTGATTGCAGTCCATGAAACATGTTGAAGTATAGTTGTTCTTCGACCTTGAGATACAATTACATGAAACCGTAAGATGACGAATAAGCGGCATGTTATTATAGATAGTATGCTACCCTTATCGGTCTACGATTAAGAGCAGGTTCCTCGACCTTGAACTATAGTACTATAAAGTAAGATAATCTACAAGCGACATGTTGTATTAGAGAGTATGATACCCTCGTTGGTCCTGAAATCAGGTCAATGCTTAGAATTCCTCACATGGCGTCCTTGGAAGTCATTGTATTTTTAGCCTGCTGCATACCTTGGCTAATATGCAACTTCCAAAGAACAGACCAGAGGCGTCTAACTTCTATCAAACAAGTGTACATGATTTGGTGTGACAATTGCTTTAGCTATTAAAAGTAATTGTCACACCCAATCCAACTGTACCAAGGTTACCTGATATTCAGTATACAGAGCATACATGTAAATATGATCTGTATCAGTCAAACAACAACGCGTTAATGTGATCAGTCCGTCATTGGAGATTCCAGAGACAAATTTCTAATAGTTAATATCGCCATATTTCCATAATTACGCTAGTATCTCAATGAAGGTTTCCTTTTCTTGATTAATTGTTGAGAATCAAGACTACTCACCCAACACTAGCCAGTGGTGCCCGAACACTGTCCACGCCGTTACCCTAAGTGACCCTGTGTGTCCTTAAGTGACCTTAAGTCCCCAAGGCCAGGCAAACAGAGGTCACAAACATTCACAGGGTCCGAACAGGGGCCTGATTTGCTCAATCAATATGCTATGAATTTCTTTATGGGAAATTATGATAATTCCATACTTGTTACATGTCTAGGTTAGAACAGCGGATATATATTAAACGTCATCGAGATGACTTAAAGTATGCAAATGACCATTTACACGCTTATGCTGAGCTCACATTTCCAAACCGGGGCCCGGTCGGGCTGTTTGGATAAACGAAAAATGAACAATTAATATCAAAAATATGCACAGATAGTGCTAATGATGAATTTTTCACCTTTTTTTGTGTGTTTAATTGTCTTAAATGCCACACTGTTCGTTCCTTCTATTAAACTGCCCTGCCGGGACCCAGTTAGAAATGTGACCTCAGCACTAGTGATGAAAATGTTAACATGGATTTTACATGGATTTAGCATGGATTTCTGCTGAATATTAGGACCTTACACACATATGATACGTGTTTGGAAAAGACCATACGGCCCTTTGGTTTTTTTTAGGGTGAAAAGATTACATAAGGAATAGCACTTTAGGCACCCCCATTATAAAGTGTCTCAGTCCATACAGGTTGAAAGGTTGTGGACTGCAGGTAAGGTGAGGACATTGACCTCTGCCTATGTACATGTACATCTGTGTTAGCAACAGACGCTTATGATACTTATTAGCTACAGCAGAACATACAGGTTTGCGGTCCTTAATATTTTATTATGAATATCTGTCATTCTCGAATACTGTGATCGTCTTCATCTCCTAGAATGTTGTCTTGAGATTATTAAATAATTCTTGGGGGTAAATGTTGACCACGTCCTAATTTAATGCACTTCCTTGTCATATAGATTGTATAGTATTACATGTGCATTAGTCAAATTTTCACACTTTAAACTTGTAGCATATCATTTTTCTTAAACAGTTTTTAATGCCCATGTTTAGTCCTGTTATCTTTAACGTTATATGCTTGTAAGGCATAAACTTTAAGATAGATCTACATATCAATGTTTTGTGTTTGAGGACACAAGGACAGAGTATATTTGAATTATTCATTACTACTTGTAACAAGAAGTCCCCTGGGAATACGTTTCTTCATCTGCATGCTGTTGTAAAATTTATGTTTAGTACATTTATCTGATGACAGTCTGTTCATTACATATTGTACATTGTATCTATCATATATGTATTGTTTAATATAAGTAGACCCTTGGACATTTTACCAGGATTTTTAAACAGGTGCACACAAAAGTCATGCCTCCCAGAAAGAGAAAAGCTCCAGAGGAATCAACTTCGACGGCTAAAGCAGCAAAGAAGAATGACTCTAAAAGAAAAGGTATTTATGTCTCTATATTTGACTCCTTGAACCAACTTCAACTGAGTGTAAAAGGTGAAATTTGTCTAATCTTAAAGTAGCAGTACAGTAATAGCCAGTAGCATGTCAGTACTGTACAAAAATGTACATGTCAAGAAAGCTATTGTCAGTAACAATCAGTCAAAATAATTCATAAGGAATTGCTACTTGTCATGCAGTTGGGACTGTTATGCTGCTTTACTGAAATGTTACTGAAATGAGACTGTAAGCACAGTTGCTGACAGTCACATACCAGTACTGGTGGTTTGCTATTTGGGGATTAGTGGATTTCTTGTCAGTCAAAAAATTTACACTAGAACAAAAACATTCACTGACAGATAAGAAAACAAGCCAGGTCTAAAATGACTGTTATTTTCAGACAAGACAACTGGAGCATCATCTGGTGGCTCCTTGAATCTGCCGTCGTTTCTTAAAGATGAGACATGGAGGGACAAACTGAAGGAAGAATTTGAGAAGGATTACTTCAGTGGCATCGAGGAGTCCTTGTCAGCTGACTATTCAAAAGGAGAGGAAATATTTCCACCAAAGGAACTTATTTTCAATGCATTTAATCTTACACCACTGGACAAGGTCAGTATTAAGGGCCATGGGTGCATTTCTTTGTGTATGTTATTGTCATGTAGATTAAGAGCAGACTGAACCTGACTGTCCATCACAATTAGCATTTTAACCAATGGGAGCATGGTAATTAATTCTTTGACCAATGAGGTAGTGGCTACGTGTGTCAAATATTTTTGCCATAGTTTTTTATTTTATTTTGCATCTTAACGTTTTGACAGAGATGGACAGGATATGGGATTGACCACTATACAAAATGTTGATTGAAAATTGAAAAGAAACAATATGACAATCCTTTTTTTCTTTCAGTCTGTTGCATGTTTTTGATGGTTTGACCAAGTCCTATTGGTTAGATGGGAAGTATTTTGTGCTTCAGGTTAAGGTGGTTCTCCTTGGGCAAGACCCTTATCATGACACTGACCAGGTGAGACTATTGTCGTTTAATAGTACATAATATTATGATGCTTGTCTTCATTGTCCATCGTTGATAAGAATCTAACTTAGAGGTAAAGTACAAATCCTACAATACCTGGTATAATTCATACAGTGCAATCAATATACACTAGTAAGAATGCATTATAATGATACAGGCTAAGAAAATTTTCTTTATGCATCCACACAATGACTGTCTTTATCAATTTTTTGAACTGTATAATCCCGTAGGCCCACGGACTGTCCTTCTCGGTCCGTCCCGGTGTGAAGATCCCCCCGTCCCTTAAGAACATCTACAAGGAGCTGAGTTCAGACATCCCAGGTTTCACCGCGCCCGAACACGGCTGTCTGGAGAAGTGGGCCAAGGAGGGAGTCCTGCTGCTGAATGCTACTCTAACTGTACAGTAAGCAAGGGAGTCAAATCATTTTTTCCCCTACTACTGAACACTAAAGAGACCTGTCATGCATTTGGGCTCCCAAACACTAGACGAATGACCCCCTCAACAACAGTTGGGGGTAGGTCAGTGCAAAGTCGGATGGTGTTCAATGATGAATGCTACTATTTTGCTACGTCAGCCGAATGTTTCAAAATTAAAATAAAACATTCGGAGATCGGTCGGGAGGTCCAGAAATGGTTGGCTGGTGTTCTGCTGACTTATGTTAGTAGTTAGGGAGTAAGTCAGCAGTTTTGGGGTAAATTTGACTAAAATTTAACTCTAATTTGTTTAAGTTCTTATATAAAGGCAGTTTTCAGGTAAATTTGACTCAAATCTAACTCAAATTTGTTTCAACTCATATGTAAAGGTAGGCATGTCTTGTTCTTCAGAGCCCACAAACCAAACTCCCACGCTAAGATCGGGTGGCAGAAGTTTACAGACGCTGCCATCAAGGTTGTGAGTGACCACACCCAGGGAGTGGTGTTCCTTCTGTGGGGAGGGTTCGCTCACAAGAAGGAGAAACTAGTGGACCAGGCCAAACACCGTGTGGTCAAGACTGCCCACCCCTCACCACTGTCAGCAAGCAAGTTCAAGGACTGCAAATGCTTCTCAAGGGTTAACTCTGCCTTGAAGGAACTCGGTAAAGAAGAGGTAGACTGGTCATTGTAATTCATTAAGTTGTGTACTGTAAATTCACTTGTATGGTGTACACTGAATGGTGTTTAAGGTATTTTTCATCAAGTCAGAATTTTACAATTATCATTCATTAAAAAAATACATTGTATACAATCATATCTATATCTGAGAGATGTCAAATATCAAAATATACATAGCTGCAGGGTTATAGAAATAAAAGAAATAGAGATGAAAACATCTGATTGACATATACATGTATGTACATGTATACATGTATGTACCAATTGAAACTATTATATTATCATGTCATATTGAACAAATATTAGATTGTTATTAACACTGTTATGAATGGCGAGGAGATTGCTGTATGCATGTAGCAAGTCAATTTTAACAAACAAAATCAATGCAGTCTCATCATTGAAATATCAGCCATAACAGTACTAGTACATGTACATCAGACCAGCATGCACATGCACTTCTTTTAAATAAAATGTGTCCCTTTCAAGCATAACAAAGAACTCTCTAGCTTTACCTTAAATCCATTTTAATGTCACTCACTTCCCTTACAATGACTTGTTTGTCAGAAAGATGTGTTTTGTAGTTTTTATTGCCTTTTATATATTGCTTCTTTCATTGTGTCAGTATTACCTTTTCCTCGTGTCTGTGTCAACTTGTTATACAGAAGAAGACCGGCCTGAAAAAAAAAAAACATAATTGGTGGGTTATAAAACTAGATGGAACTGTCTGGACAACAACTTTTAATAAGTCCTTGAACGACTTTGAAGTTTACTTATTTAGAGAAGCTAATTGTGTGTCAACTAGGGTGAGTCACTGATATAAAGTACTACTTAACTTTTATTCCTGTCACTTTGTGGTAAATGTGACCAGCAGATGGAAAATACATTACACACAAACACAGACCAGCAAACAAACAGACACATTCAAAACAATACCTCCATTTACGGAGGTAAACATGACAAATTTTGGAAATTACAATGTATGGCACGTACATAAGCATCAGCTGCTGCATACTGCTTCTGTGTAGGGGTGAGAGGGTACTGTCTCCAGTCACTCTTCCTGACTCCTGGGTCTTTATCCAGTCTTTGCTTTAACTAAACAAGAACAACTTGTCATTGACATCATTTGTGTTAGACTGGTCCATTTCAAAAAAATTTTTAATGTTTAGCAACAGTCAGTCTCCTGGTTAATAATTAGTAAACTTTCTCTCTATATATAATGTGTGCAAAATATTAATGCAGCAGTTAGAATCCTTGTACATTGATTTCAGAAGAATTAAATAAAAAAATGCTATTTGAGTTTGACAAAAAGAAGTATGACTTTCTCTTTTTCAAAATACATTACTAGTACTACATGTACTAACAAAGAAAATATTGGAACAAGAAGTTACCACATGTTTGCAGAGGTTATCCAGGCTCCATATTTCTGCACTGCCAGTTTTCTGATTGGCCAGGTTGGAGAGGTCCACCCCTCCCTTCATCTGTATGTCAAAGTCTCGTAACAGTTTCCACACATCTCTGTCAAGGACAAGACAAGACACTGTGGCTTAAAATGATGTAAACTGTATCTTTGTAAGATATTTTGTCTTAGGCCTAGGAAAATAAATATTGCGTTTCCTGTTTCAGTCTTCAAAAAAATTAGGGTCGGTATGTAGGGATTATCTTCTTTTTTTTTTTTAGACTTTGTCGATCTCTAGTCATGCAACTTATACAATACAGTTTAACAAAGTAAAACTTGCAGAAGGACACTTTCATTTTCAACGTAATGTTGAAAACCCAATTGTACAACGCTTCATGACTTTCATCACACAGTCAAGTGTCAGATCATGGAATAAGAAAAGGTCGGCCAGCTTGAAAATTTATGTCCCTTGCAGAGGTTCACACGAAAAAAGGGCTATGGTCTGCAGTTTTTTCTAGGGTCAGTTAGGAAACAGGAAACACAACATTTTTTTCTTAGGCCTTATACTGCAGGCCAATTTGAGCTTCTCATGGACAAAGAATGTTCCAAACAAAAAAGCAAGACTTTCAATCTGTGAATTGCTTCATTGGAGAATGAGACTTCATTTTACACTGAAAGAAAGCCAGGAAAACATCTCAGCAGCAATTTGTGATAACGAGATGCTTTCTCACCCTTGGATGCCCACTCCAACTTTCTTCATCGATTCAGTCTCAAGAAGCTTCTTCAATCCGCCAGGAAAGCCTAAATGTCATAAAATAAAAAGGGCTAATAAGAAAACAATATCCTTTACAGTAATCAATAATGCATTTGCCAATATATAGCTATGGAGAGGTGTTTTGTATTGCATACTCTTAACTACAATGTGATACAGTAGTCCAAAGTGTAAAGAAAATGAAATACGTAGTGTAAGTAACTAAGATACAAGGGTACAATAGATTTTAAGTTGACAAGATACAAAATATCATTTGAATGGAGTTCAATGGACACTTTACCAGCTAGATCTAGAAGTTGAACAAGGATTGAACAACTATGGATAAAAGTTGTACATTTCAAACATTGCACTTTCATTCAAACAAGCCAATAACCTTATATTGATGTGCGTACCAGACATACAAGACAGGTGGAACAGGTAACAGTTGTTGTGAGAGGGACAGAGTTGGAGTACTGCTGTCTTTTCTTCTTTCCCTGCAGTGTATGTCACAGGCCACTCTATATCAAACCCTACTACACAGCTGGGGCCAGATGTTGAATTACTCCTGCAAGGAAACATAATTACACACAAAAATGATACATTGTACTGGTAATTCCAGTGACTATTACTAGTATTAGGAGAAAAGAAGGTAGAGGAATGTATTAAGGGTTAAAGACCAAATGACAAAAGTATACATACAATATAGTCACTTGAAGTTTCAATCACGTTGACTGAGAAATTGAGTCTGTACAGGCATCCAAAAGTGCCTTTTTGGAGATGCTCTGGCAAGCTTCCCAATTGCCCACCTCAGGCATCTCTTTTTGCATCTCTATGTTTTATTTTTGCATGTCTGACTCTGTGCTTTTTCCTGAGCTGATGTTACCCTGTTATATGCCCGTGTGTGGATAGCGTTCAGCACCAAGGACAGCTATGCTTGCCTGTGTGTGAATGGTGTTCAGCACCAAGGACAGGCATGTTTACCTGTGTACAGATGGACAGGTCTGTTTGCTGGTGTGTGGATAGTGTTCAGCACCAAGGACAGCTATGCTTGCCTGTGTGTGTGAGTGGTGTTCAGCACCAAGGACAGGCATGTTTACCTGTGTTCACAATTGGATGGATGGATGAATGAATCGATGATAGGGAGGATGGGTGCAAAGAAGGGTAGGTGGATGGACGGATGCATGAATAGATGGACAGATGATTGTTTAATATGAATTTACTACTAGTGCCTAGTAAGACAGAAAAGCCTATAGAAAAAGCAATGAGAAGATACTTACATGATGTCTTCACACATAAACGAACAGTCATCTTTCTGATAACAATACACGATGTTACCAGTGAACTTCAGGACAGGGAGGTCTGTAACAAGAGTCGTCTGACCTTTCTGTGCCCCTCCCCGTTTTCTCTTCATTTTGGTATGATCCTGTGTATAAATGTGAATAAAGCTAGTGTCCATGTCATCATAATAACTGCCCATGATGATTACAAATAATATCATGAAACATAATAATTCAAAATCCTATGCAATATTCAAAGGAATAAAAATCATGACAGTGCATGATTTTGCATGATTCAAAAGTTATGAACTTCATAACTGTGTTAACCAAGGAGCTTCCAATTTAGTCCAAGCAGAGGTTTGGGTTTTTGTTAGTATCTCAGTGAGCAGCTACTTGCTTGAGAACATTCGAACACAAAAAATATCAAACTGTCAAAGATTCTTAGGTCGAACTACACCACATCTAATGGTCTCATTTCTTCACCTTGTCTACAACGACGTTTTTCATCCATTCTGGTAACCTTCTCTTCTGTTTTCTCGCCTTTCCACAGTCCCCACAGTCGCTCGTGTCAACTTGTTCGTCTGCTTCCGCCATTTTGAAATAGCCGCTTAATTTGGAGTAATACATATGAACAAAGGGGGAAAATTACTTTTTATTTTGTAATTCATTGTAAGGCTATGTCGAAAAATATCGATATAAAGTTGAACATCAAGCCTCAAAATTACTTGTTAATGTCATATATTTTGACGATAAGTTTGTATGAAGCCATGTAATATCATATGTTTTGATATTTAAGAAACGCCCCTTAAAAACTAATGAGGCAATCTCTTGACCTTCAACCTTTGTAAAGACTTTCTGATCTGGGAGTGGTATTTTCGCCAAAAAAAGGACACATAAGACAAGATCTTTTCATCTCAGAAGTTAGAACCACTATCTTACGTCCGGCTATGGCGTCCCGTCTACCGGTAGTCCACCTCTACACGTACTTGGCGGCACCACTACAGGAATCCCTGCACAAACTGTGTCCTGGGATGGCGGTCGTCAAAGTTGTTGGGTCAAACTTCGGTCAGTTGCAGAATATATACTAACTCTATTTCTTCTTCTTCTTCTCCAAACAAATTAAGGTCAATGACCTGAACCAGACGTCTGTCACCATGGTAACTACATGTAGTGTTGGGTTACATTATGTTGCAAAGACTCCTGTCGCCATACGTATACATAATTACAAATGTTACCTTAACTAGTCTTATGTTTGACTTCTTTCCCTCATGATTTAACTTTAAGACACCTACGGCTTGCTTCCCTCTGCTCCTACCCCGGAGGATGTGGCTGCTCTACAGGAAGCAGAGATACTTGTGGCAGACCCAAACCTCATGCCTCCTCTCATGCACAAACTCCCTCAGCTCAAGTGGGTGCAATCAACATGGGCAGGTATATGACATATCTGATATATGAAGCGGTTTAGTATAGAATAGATTATGTTATTTAATCTTCAGTAAGTCAAATACTTGAAATAAACAGTATTTTGTAGTTATACATGTAATGGTGTGTCGGAATGAAGACTGAGATTCTTTTTTACACAACCAAGTGTTTTATTCAGATGATGTCTTCTGCCGTATAATGCATGTGTATCAGAACTACATACAAATGTATGTTGTATATAAATTAGTGTATTAAAGTAACATATCTTCTGTGGTCTGTTATAGGTGTGGATTCTATGCTGAAACATCTGGACAAAACAAAGGTACTGACAGTCACACGCTCAGTTTGATGAGTGCAAGTGATGTGCAACTTATTATTTGAATGACACTGTTACACTTTTTTAGATACACAAAATTTTTGCACATTTCGCATTTAAATGTCTGTTTTCTTGGATGGGTATGACATAAATACCATGTAGCATTCTATATATATGTGACATTATCGTGAAGCAAAAATTAGTCATGGATTAGGAAAAATTTGTAAATTGCTTACATTCAATCATTTTTTTTGTTGTTGTTATTTTTTTAACAGCCTCTTCCCAGCTACACCCTGACAAGGTTTGGTGGAGTATTTGGACCAGCGATGGCTGAATATGTCATCTCCAACATTGTCAATAGAGAGAGGAGAGCTCAGAAACAGTGGGAAAACCAAAGAAACGGAGTATGGTATGTCATAATTTTATTTTGCATTCCATATCATAACATTGAAAAAGTATATGAGAAATAATTAGAGATGCGTCTTTAGAACACAATAGTGGCTAAATTGAATATGCTGACAAACTTCATGTTGTACAATGTACTTGGAAACAAGATTGGCCTCAGAAGTTACTGTGTATGAAAGTTTAGATTGCGATTAACAGTTTTGGTGGGTTAACAGTGTTACAATGCAATTGTTTGAGGTGAGAATGCAATTGACAATGGAGTGGTTTAACTTCCTTCCTATAGTCCTGGGTGTACGTATGGATGACCAGGCTCAGGACTAACCCCCAAACATGGTCTGAAGAGGTTCAGGAAGCCACTCGGTACATGGTAGATGTATGCAATTCACTGTATGTTAAAAGTTAAGTCATTACAGATGTGTCTGCCTCCTGTACAGGGATAGAGCTGGAGACATTCACAACTACCGGCCTTTGACTATGCTGTCTGTTGGCATTTTGGGGGTTGGAGACATTGGGAAAGACAGTGGGTATATTTTGTTTGATTGTTTTGCGTAACTGGTTAGCTGCCTTTTGGTGTGAAGACCAGTTTTGTACAGTAAGTAAGCTGCTGCATAAGACTAAGCTGTAGGAACAATAGGTACAAGCTGCATATACATGTAAGACTGGACTGTAAGGTTTGATCCACTCATGCCAGGATGGACTCTTTTTTATAAGTGTGTTGTGCTCGAAGTGCATTTCTCTTCAAACATTTGAGATGATGTCTAACTGAAGTTAGGCATATTTTCACCAGAATCAAGTGAGGAAATATCAATTAGGTTTAAAGTGCCTTTGGTTTTCCTTTAATGGCCACGATCATGATAATGATCATTCTGGCATACTTATTTTCACCTGAGCAAAGTGAAGAAAGTTGTGTAAAGTGCCTTTCCCAAGGGCAGAAGTTGGTGTGACTTGGCAGGATTTGAACTCAGGACCTCTTGCTTGGTTCTGAACTGAATGCTCTGCCGTTACACCACATGACCCCACACATTTCCCACAGGAACAACTTTGGAGCCTGCTAGGGATTCAAATCTAAAACCCTAATCAAAAGACCACTATTCCACCTTGTGGTGACCTTCTACATGTATGTTTCAGTTGCGAGGTACTGTAAGACCTTTGGTATGACTGTGTGGGGTGTTGTCAGGAGGGAGCTCAGTCAAGACAAGCGATCACCATATGTGGACCATTACAGGTAAGGACACACAATACATATACCTCTTTTCTTAGAGTGTAAGCAATTCAAATGCCAGGTGCATTTTATTTTGTGCCACTCAAATTTAGCATAGAGTAGTAGTACAATCAAGGAGGTTAACTTCCTTGGTGCAATCAGTGTATTCAGCATACAGCATTGTTGGCAACTAGATTTAGTATCAAGTGAAAACAGCCTGCCAATCATAACATGATGCATACATATGTAGCCACTACCTTTCTGAATTTAGCATAGAATGATGACATTAAAACTGTTTCACAACTTCAATGTACTGCATCAATTGCCTTTTACTCATATTTTCTGTTGTTCTTTTTTATTTGCCCAGAAAGTTTTCAGAGTTGCCAGAAGTTCTGCAGAAATGTGACTACATCTGTTGTGTTCTCCCCAGCACTGCTGAAACAAAGGGACTCCTAAATGGAAACATACTGGAAAGCTGTAAAGAAAAGGTCATTTTCTTTGGCTTTATGTAAATTTTGTGCCATTCCTCATACATATCATATGTTTCGAGTCCTCGAAAGTATTTAAAGAGGTGAAAGTAGAAGTGTTCTGACCAATTCTTTCCATCTCTTTACGCGCCAAGTTTTGTCTGTCAAAGATGACAGATAGGGCAAAATTTGTGTCCATCATAAGCAACAAAATTCTGTCAAATGAAGCAAAGAAGTAAAGGTTAGAGTAGAAATAAAGGAAATAATCAGATTTATATTATAATCATTTTCTTCTGCAGAAGTCAGTATTCATCAACATTGGAAGAGGAGATGTCATCAGTGAAGAGACCATAGTGAACGCCATACAGTAATGTCTCATATATTTCAAAGCCAACTACTAATATTAAATATTATTTTTGCTTCTCAAAAGATCTTTAAAATTATGATTACTTTTTTGAATTGCATTGCATCTTGTTTTTTGGCCCGCCTCGTTTTTTTTCGCCCTATCGCTTTAGATTTGGAGTCTGCACAGGATGTCATCCACACAATTTGCTTTGTGGTCTTACTGAAAAACTTAATGTAGACTTCAAACCGTGGACTAGCTGAGATTGATCCATACTTAATTTTAATTCCCTCCCAGGTCTGGATGGATCTCACATGCCATCTTAGATGTTTTTGAAACAGAACCGCTTCCTGCCACAAGCCAGCTGTGGAAAATGCCTCAGGTAAATAAGTAAAATTCATCTTTTTAAGTAAAATTCATCTTTTTAAGAAACATGCATTCAAGCATTCTTAGATTTGAAACTTAAAGAGTTTTTTTTTGTGAGCATAAAAATTCTACATACACGCTGCGTAGGTTTTTCATATGGGTATATAGTGGGCTTTGGTTGTTTTATTTTCCATTTGTATAATGAATAATAATTGAATGATGTTATGTTTTTTTTTGTTATTTGCAGGTGACCATTACACCACATGTATCTGCTGTCTCTATTCCTTCCCAGGTAAGACAAAATGTCTTCAATAGTCTTGATTTCCATCTTATTGAGTATAAATGCACAGTAAAAAACAAGAAATTGAAGGTCTTATACCTCAATAAAATATATCTAGACATTTTTTTTTAATTTCTTGACAAAACAGACTTGCAATAATCAGGTTTCAGTTCTTCTACAGTACCCTTCACTTTCTCCCAAACAGGTGGCTGAGATGTTCTATGATAACTACCAGCGGTATGTGAAGGGGGAAGAGCTGAAGTACATCATCAACTTGGAGAATGGCTACTGAGGATCTTTTGGTGCACCCTGGAAATTAGCCTGTGTTAGACATTACTAGCGCAGGAACATTAGCCAATCAACAAGCTTCATACTGGGATATATGGGGACACTTCAGTGGGGGTGCCAGGCTGCAATTCTACCTCTTTCTGTCAGGGGGCACAACAATGTGCAAAAGGGGTCAAACCCTAACTAGTCCAGATTAATATGCAAACCCCATAACCAGTCCAGACTGGACCGTTTTTTCCGCCAACCCATTGTCCCCTACCTCAGGGGCTGGTGAGTCTAATGCAAAACAAAAGTCCTCTCAAAAATAAATAAATTTTACAATAAGTGATTACATTGATAGGATGAATTTCATATACATGTACATGTATAAATCAACTGTGGGCTAGACCAAAGTATTAAAGGAAACCAATACTTCTATGGTAACTGTATATGTTCTTTCAATATTGTAATTGTATGACAATGGAGGTATACATATATCATGGGTATAGATACATTTTTAGCAGAATAGCAACAGAATATTAGAAAACATGCTGTTGGTGGAAATGATGTAAATGACTGACCCTATCATGTGTTCCAGACATCTATTAAAAGAGATAATATATGCAGTAAACATGTCTAATTAATCTGGAGCTAATCTGTTATTGTTTCAGATGAAGTTCTTATAGTAAATGTGGTGGACACAAGAATTGTAATCCGGCAAGTTTTTATTTTAAGTTTAAGCTATTTATTTCTTAGGTGAACGAATGAGTAACAGTGAGTGAGTGAGTGACAGTGAGTGAGTGAGTGCACCCAGCCATACCCAGCCATGAGCTTAAATTTTTAAATTTCGCGCCATAAGGTATAACCAATCAGATCATACTTAACGTATCAGACCACAAGTGTGACCAATCAGAGCGAGAGTTGAAATGTAGGTCAGGGGTCAACAGGTGGTCAACAACATGGCGGAACATCGCGGCAAGGCAGGCATGGAGTCTCGTCGTTTTGAAGCGATTTCGGGACATTTGGCTTCTAACGACCGTCCCAAATCGGCAGAAAACAAAGACAAGTCTCAGATAGAGATGAGGCAATGCGGAGAAGTTAAGAGCGTGATTTCTAAACACAGGTAAGCGATGAAGTTTTCTACGTGACAGTTGCACATGTACTGGGTGTGGTGGTAGGAGGGAGGGGGGCGTATGCGTAGCTTAGTAACGCTAAAATGCATTTTTAAAGCCTATGGTTTTAACTGTACAATCTTTTCTGTTTTGGTGGAAACTGCTTAATGCTGTTTAATTTGCTTTAGGGAATAAATTATTCCTCTAGGCTAGGTAACAAGGGCTCGAAATTGTACGTACATGTATAACCTTACACAGTGCAGTGAGAAAAGTAATAAATTATTATAATATATGTAACACACTTTGTGTGGGTAGAATAGTATTAATGTTTGTGTTACATATTTCTAACATCTACCTACGCTTGCCCATGATAAAAGAGCCCAATGTAGGATGACATACAGCCAAGTGTGAAAAGTTTAAGTAGAGTCAATGCTAGATACACATGTATATGCTAAATTCAGCCAGGTCTTTTTAGGAAGACATTGGCAACATGATAATCATAAATTTGTATGTACATGTACTAAACAAGCTAGCTTCGCTTTACACTACATTCAGTGTGGTATACAACAAATGTATGTCTACAAATTATACATGGAATTGACTGATGACACATGCGCTCACACACATGCACACACATGTACTAGTACACACACACACACACACACACACACACTACACATATCAGCCTTAAATTAAAAAGTAAACATTATAACAGTATAAACATTTGGCAATAGATAATTCTTTATTATTATGAATTATAATTATCTTCAATTAATATTTACTAGACAGGAGGTCTTGAAGTGGAATGGCTGGGGCTACAAAGACTCCAAGTTCATTGTCAACAAGAAGGGACTGGCTGAGTTTGTTGGAGAAAAGTAAGTTGCAAAATCAGTTATCTTCACAGAGACTTAATGTTGCAATCCACTGGTTCTGTGATGTCGTGTAACGCAAGGTTACCAGTTTACGTGCAGGACCAGTTTACGGTCAGTTAGTGACACGGCCACGCTTCGAGGTGTACCAGCCAAAAATCAACGGTCGTGAGCAACAAAGAATAACATGAATATGATCCTTATATGTGTCTTTTATTTATTCACTGGATGGGAATAAGTTTGCATTCAGCGACACAGCAGAGTATCTTCCGATATGACGGGACAGCAAGGTAACATGGCCTTGGACGCATGTTGTGTTTTTCACATAATACAATACTCAACATTTCGTCGATTTTTTAAAATCCCAAGAATGCTAGGAAATTGTAACGATAACTGGCATCAAACCTGGCTTTCTTATTTCAATCATCCATGGTGTTGTGAGGTATGAAACTTTCAAACACCTTGAAATAAACAAGCAAAAGTACAGTGGCAGTTCTCGCCGACTAGCGTTTTTTTCGAACGCCATTTTGATCATCATCATCGTTGCATCAGGTGACGTCACGGTTTTAAACTGCAGAAAGGTACGTAAAAGTCGCACTGTGGCGCTGTTGCACATTAATTTATGCAAAAATGCCAAAATGGCTTCCTGCGTCTGTAGCAAAAAGTTTGCTCGGGTTTTCACGACGTTCCGTTGTGTCTGGAGGGGCATAGACGCTTGTTATCTATTGCAACGGTTTAATGGAACATCTTGGGCCATTATGTCACGTTCTACTAAGGGAAAAATGCAGGTCCAGCCTCATTCAGCACCACAGCGCTACTGCATGCGACAGTGGGCTACACACTGACATTTTACCGTGGTTTGTTGTTGACCACTTCGGTATTTTTTTGCAGAAAGTGTTTGTTTATGTGCGCTTATACGTAGAGCATACAAGGACAAAGGTCCAAGTGACCGTTAATTGGTCACCCTAGAGCAATTCTCCACTGTTAACTACTAAATAAATAAAAGCTGGCACGGCACAAAAAACGCAGGGAAGAAATGACACGGCACACACTTTTATAACTGACGAACTACTGTTTCTTCACAAGGGTTAAATATTTAGTTCTGCCCATGCGTTTTCACAAAAAATGGAATTTTCCATAATTCGACCGTAAACTGGTAACCTTGCGTTACTACGTGTAGTAGTGACTTCCACAGCACATCACCAGAATGTACTGCACCTGCGCGAAACCCGTAATTTATTGTGCATAGCACTTCGGCAAAATGTCTCGTACAAGGTCGTATTTGCGCACGTAAGGTTAACATCCCATCTGTAGTTTTCAGATGTTATGATGTAAAATCCTCTGCAACAGGAATGTTGACCAAAAATCCAACCAAAACCGTGAAAAATCGGTTTTGCACAGGCACTGTACGTTCTGCAGACATGCTGACTTTCACCAACATAGATGAGCTAACTCAAGTAAAGAAAATTATTTGTTCTGAATGTGACAGGTACCGTCTGAGTGGAATGGTCCTCCCTTCCCTTGTGACTTGGATGGAGAAGAACACAGGAGGAGACATACAGCACACCTCACCTGCACAGGTAGGTACATCCACAGAACATACTGCATCTGCATGAAACATGTCATGTTTTGTGGATTTGATTTGATTTATTGAGATTGCAAACAAATACAATACTCGTGGGCCACAGGCAGCGGGGGCTGGTGTTGTAGCCCGCACACAAAACAATTATAAGCACACAAACATTACATAAGACATACATTTAAACCTAAACAATATAAGTACATAAAAGGTAGAACGTCTCACTTAAGGTCATATTCGCAAATATTTAAGGATGATAAAGGTTGATCCATGGTCACTAACCACTCAGGACTATGCACTGACCACTGACTTATACCCTCTTGTATTCTGTACAAGCAATTTATAGAATACATGACATAGTCACTTGTTCCACTTGTATGTATGTATGTTGTAACTTGTAAACATTGTGTCATATGGCAATCAGCCCCTGGGCATGAATCTACAAATAAACTTACTGTTTATTACTTATATCATCATTAAAGTTGATGAAACTTGATGGTTCCTTGTGTGACTTAAATCTTTGTTTCTTAGTCTGAGAGAAAGCCAGAAGACGTCCCAGAGCCTGTGACCAATGGAGATTTCTTGAAAGATGTCTCCGAACTTGACATCAGCTATTCGCAAGACCCTCTTGATCGAGAGTTCCATGCCCACGGTTCGTTCAACATTGCTGTAAATTCATTTATTTTGGTTGGGTAAGAAACTTTGTAAAGAAATGACCAGATTTCCTTTTTATATTGTTTTAATGTTCCATAAAAGTAACAAAGATATCTTCCTTCTTCCAGGACACACCTTACATGAGATCTTCATTCTTAGAGAAGGAACCTTTAAGAGGGTGCCTGATGTCGTCATCTGGCCAAGTATGTGTCAGTTGAATCTTGTTAAACTGCATCTGTTCTATTGCTTTAGAGCATTAACAATTTGACTTTATTGACTCAGCAAAACTTTAAGGTCTACTACCAGGTACTATGATTTTGGTGCATAAAAAAGCCATAGATATCCTTTCTTGTACTAGTTATAGTAGACTAAAGTGAACAGTTATCATGATTGCAAATTCATTTTTACAGAAACTAACAAAATGTCATTTCACAGTAGAAAAGAGGGGGGATCTCATGATACTTTATATGTGCAGTTGAAACAATTCTTTGGTACAGTAGAAAATGAAAAATATATTGACAGTGTCATGATTTTGTATTAAGAGTTTACCAAAAAGAATGCAAACATTTATAGATTTAGAGTATGTTTTCTGTTTGTGTTTGTTTTTGCAGGTAGCCATGATGAGGTAGTGAAGATTGTGAGACTGGCCACCAAGCATGATGTGTGCATCATCCCGTATGGAGGTACTTAGACCAGACAGTTTAGTCAGCAAAATTACTATGAGTAGTTATGTTGATATACAAATGTGTGTACATGTATCTTATTTGAAGGTTATGTACTTCCAACATAGAGAAAAGTTAGGTATCTACAAGTACCTGATACCTTCTCAACTTGTCAGCTGCCTTTGTTAAGTGTATTAAGTTCAGAAACCTAGATCTGCTACTTCTTGCAATATTATGTGGAGGGACCAGTCACTCAGACATGCGTAAAAGTGTCCACTCTGTACAGCTACAATTTCTTTGGGCCTATTTTTAAAAATTTTCACAGCAAATTCTGCTCAGAAATGCCCAGTTTCCTGTATAAGCATACATACATACTGTCAAAAATGTGTAACCTTTACTTTAGCAATTGTTTACTCTGTAACGGGCTCCCTTTTTTATGGCCCAGTCAGCTCATCTTCTCTACTTTTCCACCTCCTCATTAGGTGGTACAACAGTGTCTGGGGCCCTGCAGTGTCCTGAAGAAGAGACTAGGATGATAGTCTCACTGGACATGTCACAAATGGTAGGTCATTCGAAGGTCATTAACTCAGTACAGCAAGGTGATACATACATGTATGTCAAGCCACGATAACGTTTGATACAGGTGTTTTGGGCCCATGTGATAACTAGCGATACAGCTTGGGGTTCTCTTTTTTATCACACAGGCTTCCAAATGTTCCATAGAATAATTTGAACGTGTTTCCCGCACCGCTTTCGAAATTTTGAACACTGAATTTGGATGTTGGAATTGATGCCATTACACTTTTTGTTTAAATACACCATATTTTGGCACATTGAAATATCTGTTTTCTTGGGTCATGGGTATGACAAATAAAGTATAACATGGTGTATTCTACATTGTGTATATTTATGTCTTCTCTCCTTGATTTTAACCTCCTTGGTTATTCAACAGATAGCCTGGCTAAATCATGCTTCTAAAACCCTTCCACTGGTCAGGCCCTCCTTTGTGTTAACCCCAGAATGCCTCTGAAGGTCTGAATATCTGTTGTGTTTTTGTGTTGTGTTTTTGTGTTCAGAACAACATCTTGTGGCTTGATGAGAAGAACCTGACCATGTGTGCTGAGGGAGGGATCATTGGACAGGACCTGGAGAGAGAGGTGAGGGAAATACACATTTTTCTAAAATTGTCCAGACAGAAACAAACTCAAGCACTTCAAGTGCCACCAACTGGCCAGTTTGACTGGTTTATACATGTACCTTTTAGACGTGCAGTATATTGTGTTCATGAGCTGGGGGGCAGGGTTCAGCGAGGGTTGAAATCCCATGGCCAGGAGACAGGAGACTGTACTTTTGTGTTTCAGACCTACCATCCATTAATTGGTCTTAACTTTTCTTTCCCACAGTTGAACTTGAAGGGCTATACCACTGGCCATGAACCTGACTCTATAGAGTTCAGTTCACTGGGAGGCTGGGTGGCAACCAGATCTTCAGGGATGAAGAAAAACATCTACGGGAACATTGAAGACTTGGTGAGGAGAGTCTAGATTTGCATAAACTTCACTCTAATTAGAATTTTTATGATGGTGCTTCTTTCTTGTCTCTAGTAGTCCCTAGTCCCTCACTTTTAGTTTGTAGTAAATTGAAATGAACAAATTAGCAATGCCATGACACATGTACAGTTGTATCCTTTCTTGAGTCATCCTCTTCCGAAGTCTTAAACAAAATGGGCCCTGCAGTTCCCCCAAAAAGCTGCTAGGGTACCCAAATCTATATTACTTCTCAAGAGCTCTCTACCAAAGAATCATGATCCTAGCCAGAACATGATACATAGAAATCAGAAGTTCTGCTGTAGTACCATTGAAAGCTGTTAGATGGCAGAAAATTGTGTTGTGTTTCCTGACCCCCACCCCCATAACAAATACATCAGCCTAATAAATGCCTATGCCCCTGAGGCATCGCCAAAAAAAAAGAAGAAAGTGGCACTTTTCAGCTGAGTTTAGATTGTGGTGTTTTGTATGTGTCAGGTGGTGCATGTGCGGATGGTGACCCCCGTGATTGCTGTGTTTTGTATGTGTCAGGTGGTGCATGTGAAGATTGTGTTGTTTTGTATGTGTCAGGTGGTGCATGTGCGGATGGTGACCCCCCGTGGAGTAATGGAGAAGAACTGTCAGGTGCCGCGGATGTCGACAGGACCGGACATTCACCACTTCATCATGGGGTCCGAAGGTACTTCTCACTGTCCATTCTATGGCCCTACATGTACCATCTTGGCCGGCTAGGTCTTCTCATGTCCTGAACGCCATCTGGGTCTTAACTGTTCATTTGACTCACTATGTGCAAGTTTCCTGGAGCATATCCATTGAACCATGGCATATTGTCACTCCGAAGTTAGTATCTTCATATCCTCTGTGGTCACTGGCCACAGGCATTAAGTACATGTAGGACACTTCAGATCTATTACAGGAGTTGAATCCATGAGTCTGTGTAACAGTGAGGTTTCATGTGTTACGAACTGATGACTTGTCTGATGGGTCCGGACCTTTATTTGGATTAGTCGTTAGCGTTTTGGTGTCGCAAGCTGGCTGCCTGGGTTTGGTGCGGGTTTGATTCAGGGGTTTTCCTGTTTCTACTTGCTCCTAGTTGTTTCACTGGTTCCCACACCGGGACTTAGTTTACATATTGATGTACCTATCCCATTTCAGGAACCCTTGGAGTAGTGACAGAGGTGACTATGAAGATCAGACCTCTCCCTGAGATGAAGAAGTATGGGTCGGTCATCTTCCGCAACTTTGAAGACGGAGTTGCCTGTCTGAGAGAGATCGCTCGACAGGTGTGTAGTCCTTGATTTCTTCTATCAGTAGCCTGGTGTCCATCCCAGCAATTTTACCTGCCTGCTTTCATAGATTCTTTATTGACTCAACAAAAGTACAGGGACTTTTGAATGGTTTTATATTCAGGTTAGTGCAGGTAAAATTGAAGTTGTGCAATAATAGAATTATTGTATTTCTGATGTGGGAATTTTACATTGAGGGGTTCAAAAGGGAATGTTGATGAAACTGTTTTGTTTTTCCTTTTTTGCATGAAGAGATGTGCCCCTTCCTCTATCCGACTCATGGACAACATGCAGTTCCAGTTTGGTGAGTCTTTATTCTTCAGTACACTGCAATTCTCTGTCAGTAACAGTTTTAGGCAGCAGGTAGACGGTTACCGTAGCCAAATATTGTTAGGATATTGGAAAAACAGTGTTCTTTCTTTATATTGTCTTAATATCAATAGTATAACTGCTGCATATTTTGTGATCTGTGAAGTTTTTTTTCTTCTTAGTCCATCTGGGCTACACAAACTGGAGATGGACTCTGTCCAAGTGTCCCAAACTTTTAAAATCATCTTTTTTCATCATGCAATTTTCCAGGTCAAGCTCTGAAGCCTCAGGCTGGAAGCATATTCACTTCATTTGTGGATGGTTTGAAGAAAATGTACATTACCAAGGTAAGGCACATGATGCTGACATGAAGATGCTATCCATGATTTTGCTAGTAAACTCACTAAAATTTATCACAAACTTTAGGTAGAAAGTTTGTTCATTAAGCTGCTCATGTCTTTTACAGTGGAAGGGATTTGACCCTAACCAACTCTGTGTGGCTACACTGCTTTTTGAGGGTGCAAAAGAGGTAAGTTTCTGTCATGTCTTTGTTTTGTATAACTTATAGATTACATTTAGGCTTAAGCCGCTTAACACACCAGTTTCATACAGAAGGTACATGTACAAGCCAGTATAAGACTACAGGACTGTGATTAAATAAACCTAAAGGTTTGTTTAACTTAAAGCTGGAAGGACCCAAATCTTTTCTATAAGACGTGTGTGTTGAGATTTTTTTTCATTCACTATGGTTGGTCTACATGCCAGAAATACAATGTAGTATGAAGACAATGTGCTGTAAGAAGAATTTGGGAAAAAAATTGTCAAAATGTTTTCATTTATCCATGATCTTCTGTCTTACCTATAGGAAGTGCTGGCTCAGGAGAAAAGAGTGTATGAAATTGCCAGCCAGTTTCGGTGAGTTCAATTTAATGCGATGAAAATGTCATCCCATAGTCTGTATTGTTTCTGTACAACTGACTTGTCGTCCTGTTTATGCATTGTTTCTGTACTACATTTTTTTTTAAAATCAACATTAGTCAGTAACAATCAGTTACATTGAAGGCTGCCACTAACAGTCTATTATTATACTATTAAATAAGATTTCACATCAAAATCAAACAAGAAATCAGAGATTTCAGACATCCCAGAATGCAATCCACAGCTTCCTGAATTCCTCCATGCTAGCTCCCAGCCAGATTCTATAAGACCTTTGACCTGTCATTCTACCTCTCAATTTCTCCTCACCCATGTGCTGTCAACCCACTTAATACATTATGTACATTTTAAACATTATAAGTCCTGTAAATAGTCCACAAGACTTCCTCTCCCACTTAATACATTATGTACATTTTAAACATTATAAGTCCTATAAATAGTCCACAAGACTTCCTCTCCCACTCCATACTTTATGTACATTTTAAACATAGTCCTGTAGATAGTTCACAATGCTGTTGGCAAAGTTAGCAAACCCCCCAAATGAATGTTTAGTGGCGAAGTCCCTGGCTTCCAGGGCTAAGTCATAAGCCTGTTGGTAACTACCCTGCCTATAGAGCAGACACGATTTAACCACCTTTAACAAGAACTTAGAAATATTACACAGCATTCCCTCCTTATCCAGGGAAGCGATAACATTCTTAGCCTTCCTTATGTCTTCTAAGGAAACATCCTTGGAGATTATGCCCAACCTAGAGTTGTCACAGGATTCCCTACATCCAAGGTACATAAGGGCGAGACCAATTTTGGCAAACTGGGGCAATCGTGACTGGAAGTGAAGCATTTGTTTGGGGTCCTCTCTTTCTGCATGCTCGATGGCGTGTTGGTAATCTGTCTCAGCTTTCTTAATGAGGAATCGTCTGTCTTCCTCGTCATCTTGGCCAGCGGCGATCTCGGTCAGGAACCAGGCGTGGTTGACGAGCAGCCATCCTGTGATACAGCCAGGTGCAACTGTCTCGATCAGAGGGATTGCTTCCTGTACCCAGAGGAGCCCCATGTCGTACTTCCTAGCTCGCAACTTAAGAAAAGACTTCTGATGGTACCACCGTAGCCTGTGCTCTGTCTCATGGCTTGTCTCGGGCAGAATGGACTCAATTTCACGAAGAAGACGACTTGCTTCTTCCAAATTCCCCGCATTGATTGCGTTTTGACTTGCTCCATGGCGTAGGGATACTTGGAAGTCTGGATCTGTCTTTGCCTTCAGGAGCTTGCCAATAGTTTGACGGCATTCGGTTACCTTTCCTTTTGCTGACAACATGGCAAAGTTGTCAATGAACTGACGGCAGGTTTTCTGAGTCTTTGTGTTCAGTCTTCGAGGTGTACCAATAGGTTTGGGCACAGCTGGAACAAGCGCTTTACACTCTTTTTCTGAGCATTGTGTTGAAGTACTACATGCAGTGGTGTGATCCTCTTTTGACCCATCTTGAGGGCATGTGTTGATATTGACAGTACTCCCACTACCAGTACTGACAGTTATGTTGCCATTCCCTTCAACATGCTGGGAAGTCTGTGTTCTTCCCTGAAAGTAAAAGAAAATGAGAAAGATAAATGAAAATTCTGAATACAAATGTCCAATGTAACTCATGTATTCTGTTGCAATAATGTCTGTGCTAATGTCCAGCACTGAAATGCCAGCTCTGTGGTCAGTTGTTAATCTTTATGACTGACAATAATCACAATTACAATTACAATTACTGTTTGATTGGTTTCTCATTGATTACACAGATAAGGTCCTCATTAGCATAAATACAGTTGATGAAATAACACTAACTAACAAAGTAGATCCTTACAAAGTCATGCCTTTTTTAACTTGTCTGTGGTAAAATTCTTTCCGTAGTGCCAAATTTTGATGTCAATCCTACATTTTTGTACATTCATTTGGCTTTACAGAAAGTTTACTTGAATGTGTAAATGTCCCACCCCAAGTGTCAACAACTATAAAATTAGTCTTACCTGGTCAACACAGACGAACTGTACAAGTATTGCTACCGACAGATAGCACAGAAAGATTAACATCAGGACAATTCCAAAGTCCATGGGATGAATGTCTACCTCAAGCAACATTTTCTGACACAAATTGGTGGTTGAATACAGGAGAAAATAGTTACACAAGACAGTCGATGTATCAGAATAAAGTCTACGTTGCTCATACTAAGGTGCTCATGTGACTTGTGTGAGGGGATTTCCCGCCACGAAACCTCTGAGTCACTTGCTTATTATAGCACAACAAAGGAAGAGTCTGTAACTGTATAGCCGGTTGAACCTCCTTTTCGCGGTCAACTATTCCCAAGTGGGGTGTAATGCATTTTTGTTGTTTGCAGATTGGTCAGTGTTTAGTCAGTCTTAATATCAGTACTAGGTAAAGTTGAGCAACTAGTTAAGTTGAGCAAGGTTCTTCTTTTACCTCAGAACTACTTCTGGCATGTTGTTGATTTTCTACTGTTGCATCTGAGGTACACTGTAAAATAATACTATGTAGGCAGTGTGTGTGTGTTCAGCACTTCAGCTGATCCTATATAATGTCCTTTAGCTGATCTTACCTGTATGACTGTACAAGTGTAATATCCCAATGACCTCAAAATGTCATCTCCTATGCAAGGGGTTAGATTCATTGTACTGTACAATATACCAGGCGTAATGTTTACTGTTTGTGTACTACATAATTCTCATCCTGTAATTAGGCCTAGGAAAAAAGTAACTGTGTTTCCTGTTTCCCGACCAACCCTAGAAAAAACCTGCTGACTCTAGTCTTTTTTTTGGTGGACACCTGCAAGGGACACAAATACTTAGAGCTGATTTACTTTTTATAGCAGCTCCATGATCTGACACCTGAGGGATGAAACATTGTACAGTTTTTCAACATTGACAATGAAAATAAAAGTGTCCTCAAGCTAGGTTTAATGTGTTAAATTGTATTGTATAAGTTGTATCACTAGAGATTGCCAAAGCCCAATAAAAAAAATTCAGAAAAAAAAGAATCCCTACCTACTGGCCCTAATCTTCAAGTTTTCAGGACTGAAACAGGAAATGCAATGTTTTTTCCAAGGCCTAACCATAAACAATTATCCTCATCCTGTGTGTTATTTCTGTACTACATTGTACAGAGGTCTGCCAGCTGGAGAAGAGAATGGACAGCGGGGATACATGCTCACCTTTGTCATCGCATATCTGAGGGTACGCTTTCATGTTTTATTAGATATTCATATTCATATTCATAAAGAAACATATTAAGATCTTGTTGTCAAATGTAATTTAAAGAAATATTGCAAAAGGTATGTGGACATGTGTAAGGCAATGCAGAAACAACATATACATGTACACGAAAATGAAAGTCCCTATACTAGTGGAATGTATGGAAGTATTAATAGTTTTGAAATATGATGCAGATTTTATATCCAACTTTTGTTGTTTTTTGTCTGGCTTGTAGGATTTGGGTTTGGAACACTACATTGTGTCAGAGTCCTTTGAAACATCTGTACCCTGGGACAGGTATGTGTTTTCTTGTATAGTGTTGATTTTTTAAGTATAGTTGCAGTTTAAAGGGGAAGTCCAATACTTTCAGTTTTGGGGCCTTTCTACCCAAAATCCTATTTGTAAATGGTGATTTATTGGTTTCTGCCAACCCCGCACATATTTGCCGTGATATCTGACCCGATCGATGTTTCGCGGCTAGCGCCAGATTGTCCGCTAGGCGGCGCTGCGACTGAATCTGTGACGTAAAAGGTTTCATTGGAACAGATTTGGAGCGCGCGCCATTTCAGTCTGTCTGCCAGTACATAGCTCGCTGCAAGTATGCCGCGTTGTGCAAGTTGTGGCTGTTGGTATGGCCCTGCGTCAAAGGAGCGCGGCGTAAGCTTCCACAAGTTTCCAAAAGACCACGATAGGCTACACAGGTGGTTGGTCAGCATGAGGAACAATCTTGTAAATAAACTGACGCCGGAGAAAATCAAGGAGTTAGTACACAAGAAGAGCGTCCACTGGCGGGTGTGTTCAGACCATTTCGAGCCTGGATGCTCGTGGAACTCTAGTTGTCATTGAATTCTGTTGAAATTTTCAGTCTATATGGCAGAAGTACGCATGTAGCTAGCTGTTTCTTTATTAAACAATAGCACCTCAAATTTCAAAGCCTTACAATTCCAGATGGAACCAAAAATGTGACGACCACTGTACTAGCTGTGAGCACAATTATTATGGGAAAATGTAAATCCGACTAACACATGTGTCAAAGATTAGAACGCATACAGAAATGTACTGTAATTAGCAGACAAAAAGGTGTTGTTTTGACAAGTTGTTATAAACCACAAAACAGGAATGGTAGTATTCTGCCACCTCAATTCCTTTCTGTTGGGCGTATGGGCGGTCGATATAAATAAATCCGTCAAAGGGTTGAGTGAATTACAACGTAAACAAACCGCGGTACTGACATGTTAGAGACCGGCTCCTGCACGCCCTGCCGGATCAGATCCCACCGAAAATCAGCAAAGTTAGGAGGTTTGCCGGGTGCAGAATCACATCGAAGTCAGGGTGGTTTCTGATGCATGGGTGGTCTGTACCGACGTTCTTTTCAGTGTCTGTCAGCTCTGGCAGGTCGTGACAACAAACACTCTCCCGTACAGAGGGCATTTCCAGGCAGTTTCTATTGTCTTCGTTTCCACACCGGCACCAGTCCCGGTTCCCCAACCTCCAACGCTCTGTCTCCACATCACCGCCATCCCAAACGTTGTCATCGCCTGGATCGGGCTCAGAGTCGCCACTACTGTCAGTTTGTGGTTCAAATCGGAAGGGTTGCACGCCCGCCATTGTTGTTTACGCTAGTAGCAGAATGAAACCTTTTACGTCACAGATTCAGTCGCAGCGCCGCCTAGCGGACAATCTGGCGCTAGCCGCGAAACATCGATCGGGTCAGATATCACGGCAAATATGTGCGGGGTTGGCAGAAACCAATAAATCACCATTTACAAATAGGATTTTGGTTAGAAAGGCCCCAAAACTGAAAGTATTGGACTTCCCCTTTAAGTGTATCTTTGAGAAAACAGTAGAGTTATCAACAGTACAGCTGCTCCCCCTAGCAAGTCAATGTGAAAGTGCAGTACCAACATGTGTTGACAGGGTGCTGGACCTGTGCAGAAATGTGAAGGAACGTCTGACCAGGGAATGTCACGACAAAGGTGTCCAGTTTCCTCCCATGAACACTTGCAGGTAAGCCACAGCTCCTCTCTTGTATTTTGACTCCAATAAAAAGAAATAGATAAATATAGATAAAAAAATTATAATGTTTAGATTTAAGAGACCTTGATTTACATGTGCTAAGTGCCATTCGGTTTTCTGTGGTATGATCATCGCATTATGACCTGTTCTTTACATGTATAATTGACCAGAAGCCTTGATCAGGAATCTTTTAAGAAATAGTGGATGATTTTGTGAGAGTTTATGTCTGATTTTATTCTTCCAGAGTCACACAAACGTATGACAGTGGTGCTTGTGTTTACTTCTACTTTGCCTTCAACTACCGAGGCCTGAACAACCCAGTGCACGTGTATGAGGAGATAGAGGTAAGATCGACAACAAACTCGGGGTGTTTGTTTTGCATATAACCAGTAACACTTAAGTTGTGTACATAAACATACAAGCTGCATAAGACCAGATTGTGCTAAGGTTGAATCCTCTCGAACCAGGATGGACCCCTACTCTTTCAATAAAAAATTAATGTGGCGTGTTCTTCATCATTCTCAAGGTTTTTACCTACTATTTGAGAAGACGTTCCTAGCTGAAGTTCATTTTCATTTTCATATGTTGAACATTAGGAAATAGGTCTTTGAATCTCTGTGAAAATGAATGTAGTCAGACATGTGTAATGTACAAAAATGTATAATTATATATATTTTAATTTCCAGAATGCAGCAAGAGATGAGATCTTGGCCTGTGGTGGCAGCTTATCCCACCATCATGGAGGTATGTCTTTTAAGAATGACCAATAGTACTGAAATACAGCTGTTACAGTTCCTGAAAACAGTCAAATATCATTTCATTTGATACATGTATTATTCAATGAACAAAGACGTTTGGACCAAAACTACTTCTTTTTCTACAGTTGGCAAGTTGAGGAAGAAATGGCTGAGTCAGACAGTCTCTGATGTTGGCATTGGGATGATGAAGGCCGTCAAGCAGTACACAGACCCTCAAAACATCTTTGGTAGTAACAACCTAATCACACTGGAGAAGGCTAAACTGTAATCCAGCACCAGAAGGTCTAAAGACAGCTGCTAAAACTCCAAATTCCAAAATAGTTTACATGAAAATGTAATGACTACAAATGTAGGTTTTGCTCTTAGTTTTGCCTTGCTGAACAACATAAATATGGTAAAACACTGTAAGTAACTGAACAACATACATATAACAAAACATGGTAACTGTAACTAAGACTTAAGTCTTAAACAGTTAGAAAAATTAACATGGCAAAAGTGAATCTGTTCTCACTCATTAAAATAAGTAATATTTTTTCAACTATATGCATGGATCATCCTCAAATAATTCACAAGAAATGACTCTAAAAAGTGTATACATGCAATCCTTAATACAAAGCACAACAATGGCATTACATGGTGGCAGGAAATGACAAGCAAACGTGTTTAAGGAAAGCAGTTCAACAATCAAGTATATGATTGTATGATATATGAAATTTCTGTGAAATGTAGGATTTTTTTTCTAAAGGTATCATAGGGATCAGGGTTATTACTAGACTGAGTTTATTTATTAGTTGTAGGTTAATGAGCACAGTTTCAACTAGTTTGCATCACGACATACTGACTTCCTCAAACAAAAGGGGAATAAAAAGAGCATCCTTTTCCAGATGTTGCTTTTAAGGCAGAGGCAATTATTGTTTAACTCCATTTGTAAAGACAACTTGGGGCTACTTCATAGCTAGGTTTATCAAAATGAAACAACTATATAGGGGCAAGTAGTAGTCTGCTGGCTCCCGGCGATCGAACCCGAACTGCCAAACCCAAGGCACTAACAGCTAGGCTAAAAGGTCAGGTCAGTTGGTGGCACTTGAACTCCACTGTTATACTAAGACTGTGGCTTATAAATAAGATTAGGAATTAACCTACTGTGGCCTGGTCATTTAAGCTTCAAGTGCTCTGCATGTAGCTTGTTGAGAGAAATGAATTATATTTTGCAGAACGGCTTTTGATGTCTGCAAATCAAATTGCAAAAAAATGAATGAGGACATCAAAACCAATAATTGTCTTGGCAATCACTAAGTCTTAGATTGTATCAGATGTGATGTACTATGAGGGCTTTTAAACATAAAAATGCAGTCAGGAAGATATATTTTTTATCTTTATACGTGCACTTGAGGAACAAGCTTTACTATGGTGTGGTCTATGTTTTTTTTTAAATTATATCTATTAAGTATGTGTAAAAATCTATGGTTCTGTGTTCCACGCATAAGTACATGTATGTCACAGCTTTAGTAAAATAAAGACCTGACACATTTGCAAGATATAAACTGCATCTTTATTACAATTATAAAAAGACAATTATTGTTTCACTTCAAATGTAGATTTTAGCTTACAGACACTTTTAATTCAGGGAATTTTTGGATGACTAGTACTGAAAAGATGATTTTACTGACTCTCTTCATATTGATCTAGTTGGGAGTATCAGTAAGTGACAGTGCTGGACAGTAAGTGAAATGAACCTATTGTTCTTTAAGAAATTATTTTTCAGTTTTTGTACAAAACAGAGTCTAAATTTAATTGCATAGAAGTCTGAACTTAATTCTTGTTTGAATGTTAGTAAATTAAATAGAACACTTCATATACAAATGTACTTGCATTAATATATTGCGCGATAGGTCTACACAGCTTTTCCACTTCATGGCCAGACAAGACAGCATTTTCCCCTTTTTCGGACCGGACCAGCCTTTCCGCCAACCCATCTGCCAAGTATTTACAATAGGACGGGCACATCAAGGAAAATTTCGGTAAGTTCAATTTCTTGTGTTGAAATAACATGTAAACTGGCTTAGTAATGACTTCTACCAATTAACACAGACTGTGCACTTCAAAATTGTGCAGTTGGTTTAAATGATGAGAGTGAATTTCCTATCACTTTTCCTCCTCCCTCTCCCTGTATCATATACATGTATTTAGACATCCCACCCCTACGTCTGGCCTGTCTCTTTGCACTGTACCTAGCTGCTTCATACAGATGGATATAACACTCCATAAACTCTGGTATACCCAGGCACAGGGACACAATCACAAATTTTTGATCATTGTACAACAGTTTTGGTCAAGGAATGAACAATCCACCACTTCTGTTGTGTCACATATGCAGCTGAAACGTGACTCAGTGAGCCGTGGATCATACATGTACTAGGAGGTTGTAGAGAGTCTGTGGCATCCCCCGTCTTTGATGAGGGATGTTGTAAGGCCCTGATGTAGATGACCTTTTTAATACCTCACGCAAAGAGCCTGGCTTGTCAAAGAAAATTTCAGTAAGTCCAATTTTTTATGTTGGAAACTACAGGTTAAACTTGCTTCATAAAGACTTCCACGAACAGATGAACTTTCAACATAATGGCATCATATGCATGCACTTCAAACTGTGAAGCTTATTATATGATGAGAGTGAATTTTCCATCCCTTCGTCTTCTAGTCCCTCCCAGTATCCCATATTTAGACATCCCACCCCTACGTCTGGCCTGTCTCTTTGCACTGTACCTAGCTGCTTCATACAGATGGATATAACACTCCATAAACTCTGGTATACCCAGGCACAGGGACACAATCCCCGCAATGGTAGCGATACTAGCGATTATTTTTCCCACGAGTGTTTGGGGGATGTGGTCGCCGTAGCCGATGTTGATCATGGTGATGATGGCCCACCAGAAGGTGTCGGGGATGCTGGTGAAGGCTGTGCCGGGTTCCTCCGACTCCCAATAGTACACGATACCCGAGAACAGCACCATGAGAACCAGCGAGGTGAACATATGCAGCACCATGGCAGGCAGGCTGTTGGTCTTAGGAAATACAAAGAAATCTGTCTGAAATTGACATTTACTACCATTTCTTGGCACATTTTTATCATCATTTTATTACTCTTGAAGCGTCCCAAAGGACCATGATAGGAAGGCTGTTGGTCTTAAAGAGAGTCACCCATGGTTAAATATATTCTGGATAAGAAAATCTGATACCGACATTTAGGCCATAATGTCTTAATTTTATGGATAACATCCTCTGAAGACCCCAAAACTAGTGTGCGCTGGCAAATAAAAAGTAAAGCCAAAAAAAATGCTGCTACACCACAGGAATACAAAGCTGGTATTGCGAATTTGCGATTGTACATAACTAGTTTCACAACAAGCCGGCACATGCCTGTCTTTTGCAGCATTTATGAGTCTCAACCGTTTTATAGATAGTACAGTAGCCTGGAAAGAGCGCCCCCTACCATAGCTCTCCAGAACAGCTGCATGTCTACAGAGTAGCGAGTCAGTTTGACCACCCTCAGGATCCGGATGAGACGGGCGACCCACAGGGCGCTGACAACCCGGTCAATCTGTCCTGCCGAATTCACAGCGCTAGTAGCAAAAGGAATACCTCATTAGGATGGAACAACACAAAGTGTTTCATACTTTTGCCGTACTTCACCAGATGATTACATTTTCAATTGAGGAATTGTGGTTCTCCTTGATGGAGCCTGCAGTTCCAGAACATGCTGCTAGGGGGCCTGAAAGTATGTCACTTATTTCTGAGCATACGAGCTATCTACCATCTAAAATTCGTGCCCCTAACATGTCCAGATCACGAGATATCAAAGCCGGAAGTTCCACTGCAGTTCCATAACAAACCGCTAGAGGCTCAAAATCTAATCATTTCTCATCAAGACCCCTACCCACATACCAAATATTAAGATATTAAGCCTTCTCGAGTTATCGTGTTGACAGACACACACACACACACACACACACACAGGAACGCCAACAAAACATAACTTTCTTGACGAAGGTAATAAGGTAATAAAATTACTGAGTCAACACAGACAGTCACTTACCTGAGCTCTATGCCCACATCCACCAGATACAGAATTATCCCCACAAAGTCCAGAATGTTCATGTAGTCTTTACTGTACCTGCATCGATCTGAACATGCCAGAAAACCTGAGGGCAGAAAATAGAATTATTGTGTTTTTATAAATCAATTTGTAAGATGAAAACGTCACCATTGTTAAACCTTTTCAGTGATGTTCTATTGAAGTTACAAAAGGGGTGGTCAGAAAGGTGTTTTTCTATCGATGCTAGTATCAAAGTCTCTTTTCGTGTGAACATTTTTAACAAGAAACACCGTGCCCCTCTCTGTCATTGTGTCTTTCGCTCTTTAAAGATCTCTCTCACATTCATTCATTCATTTGCACACTCACTCACACTCAAACACACACTCACTCTCTCACACTCACACACGCACGCTCACACAAACACACAGGCTCTCTCTCACACACACACACAATTTTAAGATTTCATAATTTTAATCACCTAAGACTAGTTCCAGTGTGAACCAGGCCACGTAGATGGTCTCTGCTACAAAGAACGGGTTCCTAGTGGCAGGTAGCCTCAGTAGAGTTCCGTTAGCGCCGCTAGTGTAGGTGTAGGTGTGGACCCATGTCTGCACCTCTGGTACCGTCTCTATACACGTCACTAACACACTCATGATGATCATCAGCACAGAGGTGACTGCAGGGGAAAGAGTGCTCGTTTGTTTGTTTGTTTGTTGAAACGTTTGTTTGTTTGCTGAAACGTTTGTTTTTTTGCCTCCAGACGGGGGTTACGTTTTGAGTTACATTGTACATTTTGTGTTCGCACCTATAACTTAAGATCATTTGGATGGATTTATTTTGTAATTTGTCTTAAGCTTGTGATTAGCGGGCCAAGGTAATAGACAGAGAGGATAGCAGGCGTATCCAGTAGATCAAGGAAGCTGGATAAGAAAGTCAACTCCATTGATTAACCGGGACGAGGGGGGGTACAATCTAAGTCACGTTTGGGATTGTGTTCTCGCCGCAAAAGCGCCACCTACATTGGCTACATATAGCCGCGAGAAGCAGTACTCCAGTCAGAAACTCTGAGGAAGGTGTCTAAAACCAAACGTAAGCAACGCGAGAGAAGTAATGCTTGTGTATAAGCAAGAATCAAACTTCCTTAGTATGAAAAAAATATCCCAACATCCCACCTGTGACCAGTTTGGCCATGTAGGATGACCCGGGGTCTCTGAAAAGGCGCCAAATTTTCAGTAGCATCTCGTTCTCAGGGGGCGGGATCTCGTCTGACGACGGCAGTTCCATACCCATCTCCTCTCGGAACCTGGGAACGAGTCATAGCTTGTTAAACTATATAAAGACAGTCACTGTAAATGTACACTTCTGAAAAAACGAGCTTTGGACTAATTTGCATCATTCTTGTCTTGACTTGTCTAACTTTTGTTAGACTTCCACAAAAAATGTCTTTACTGTCCATATCATCAATAGTTAATGCTTATAAACTTGCATTTCCCCTGCAGTCTCTAGTGTGACGAAAGGTAGTAGATGCTACCTGAAACGTCTGACCGTTTCCAAAATCATATCCAGTTGCTTGAGTAACTATTTTTGGCGATATAAATACTTGTTTGGTTGGTGATACTTTAATTTCCTAGCACAGTGATCTCGCCTGACATGTACATGACAAAACTGCTGATCTCCAAGCAGATACTCGAAGGGAACATTCGCAACCCTCCCTATTTTGAATAGTTAGCCATCTTACGCCTTGATCATGTCCTCTCCCAAGTCGTAGAACTCCATCTCGGCCACGAAGACGTCCGAGGGGACTTCTTGAGGACACTTGAGTTCTCCTCCGGTCTGATAGAACTGTAAGATCGCTTCGAAACTTGGGCGATGTCTAAGAGAGAGAAAAATTACATATAATTAAGCGAGATAATATATTTTTATTCCAACATTTATTACAAGACATGGCGACGGCAAACGTTTTTTCAACTTATTTTTATGCCGCCACTAACTCAGCCAAACGCATGAACGGACAATAGACATACTCATTTTCACCTGAGTAAAGTGTGGAAATTCGTGTTAAGTGCCTTTCCTGAGGGCACAAGATTGGTGGCATGGCAGGATTCGAACTCTGGACCTTTTGGTTCCAAGTGGAACGCTCTGTCGTTACGCCACACGACCCCCAAAAATTAATATTCTACAGGACAGGACTATTTTTACTTAAGCTATTGTTAACGTTTGGTTTGAGGTCTTTTTTATGCAGTGGCAGTGGAATTCAAAATGCCCCACGTGAATGAATCGGGTGCCTCTGTTAGAAATTATTACGATGCGTGCCATGGATTCATTTCATATTTACGCCGCAGAAAATTTACGAGTGTCGTGTCATATCCATTCTCATGCGGCGAAATATTCATTAGAAAGATTAAAAATCAATTTTTCATGAACACCTGTAAAAATAGTAGGTCGGCTGACATTACAGAAAACAGATCGTTTGTAACAAAAGTATGGCGACAAATGTTTACACCAATTTTCGATACGTATTCTGTAACTGTATCTGGATGATATGACGAAAATATCTTCTGAAAAGGATAAGGGGCGATTAAATTAAATTTGGAACCTACAGTTTCAATTAGAAGATTGCGTTTTAATTTAGCGTATTCAAACATAATTCCCGCGTATTCAAAGGCATCCATTGAAATTTCAGGGCGGCAAAATTGTAAAACAAAAATATTCTGGATGAGGAAATCTGTCTGATAATGACTTTTGCTGCCATTTCATAGCGCACTTTCGTCATCATTTCATACTCAAAGCGTTTGAAATAGCCCACAAAACAAGCAATAGCTGATTGAGGCGTCTCTTTATTTTTGGGTACCTCCCAGAAATAGCTAGAGCCAGCCTACGATACAAAACAAGCAACCGTTTCCCATCACATTTTAAATTTTGTCTCACAGATATCAGTATACTATGGGATAGGATTGATTCAAATTAGGACATTAAAAGAATGACCAGAAAATTTATTTTGAAAATCCAGTTTTGCCACCCTGATTGGATGCCTTTAAAAAGGATATACATATCTCGGTGTCATATTTACCTGTCGAAGAAGAATTCGTTCCTAGTCGAGTCGTGATACCACCGTAGTCTACGCGGGTCTCCCAACAACGTGTCCGGATACCTTTCTAACGTCTGCAGCGTGGAGACGAACCGCAGCCCGCTCACGTTGATCACGACCCTCTCCGCCGGGCGGGGGAGCGTGGAGCCCCGCGGGTGGGGCGAGTCAGCCTCCGCGTCAAACCTCCGCGGCCGCGCCCTGGTCGCCACCCCTCGTGCCGCCCCTGGCCCACGGGAAAACATGCCTCCTCCTAAAAGAATATCCCAAACTCTCCCTACCGTATCATGTGAGCGCTTCTGTTTCTGCTGTCTCTGCTTCTTTCTTAGATCTGAAACTGCAGTTTGTGACCAAGTGTGCATCGTCAGATGTATCTCCGTGCTTCATGACAACACCGGGGCCTGGCGCGTAAAGTTTACGGCGTCTGCCATCTCACGCACGCCGAAGGGAATGTATACGTACGTGGGCGATTGTTTTCATGACGTCGTTACTACTGAAAAGGTTTCATATAGCGGATAGAATGACCCGAAGCGACGTGTAGGGAGGAAATTGTTTGTGAATATTATGTCTGTGGTATTGTTTTCTCCGGTCGGTACAGATGACAATTCTAGCTTCTTCTTTTCGTGGAGACACAGCTGTGTGGTATCTAATGTAGTTCAGGTATGCTTGGGTTTTCATCTATCGGGAAATGCAGCCCTGGGGCCACTTGAGTTGATAGACAGAAAAAGTATGTGTCTGTCACCATGGTAACTGGTGTTGTAGCAGACAGACACCCTTTAGTGTAGCGGGACAGAGCTGGAGAGGCTGGTCAACATAGAGTTAGAATAAAAAGAGCTGTAGTTTGTTAGGCTAGACCATGTGAAGGTAAACATTATGCATTTGCAAACTAGTTTTCTTTCTTTTGCCTAAATTGTACATGTACATGTCTTTTCTTTCCGTACCTGGACACCTAGACCCACGAACTGCACATTCTGGTGCTTAAAACAGCTAGCAGAGGTGTTTATACTTTTTTTGCTATCCTTTCCAACTTGTGTGGGGCTACATGCAAATAAGCGTTCATGATATATAATACAGGACCAAAGCTGTGTTAGGGATATACTAATCAGCACCTTGGAGAGTAACCCTTGCATCGTACTAACTGCAGCAACTGTATAAACCGCTAGGCGCGCACCTATAGGGTGGTAACTCCTCTGGCATATTATTCAGACTACTAGGCCACATTCTACACATTTTATTTTGGAGCAACACACTTCGGTTATGTGTAACAATGACATCACACTCATTAAGCATTACTTACATACACATACAAACGCCTGGCTACAGTGTGGTCACAGATGTCAAAATCACAGGACTCAAACAAGTAGGACTATCATAGTAGCCTCCTATATTTCTAGAATCCAATGGATTTTCTACTATATTTTCAGAAGCCAATGGTTTAGTTGACCAGTTTTTACTATTTTTTTCATCCAGCAACCCATTGGAGTCTGTTACAGACTAGGACTATAGAGAAAATATACATGTCTATCAGCCTACTATTCTTCTTTTTGAAAACAACCTCAGACGTCTAGATTTAATACGTTTATGATACATATCCCCCCTCTATATATTATCACAAAAATGATACAAACTCTTGACAATACTTTGCTAGCATTTCTGTTCAATACAACTTGGTGAAGAGCACAACTTAAGAAATCTAATAGTTATGATGAATAGTATCAGGGATGTGTTTTCTTATGTCGAAACGATATAGTATTGTTTCGACCATGAACTGAAAAGTCCACAAAAACATTCTTTACACTTCTACAGCGAAATTAAGTCCTCTGAAGAACAAACGAATTCAGAGTAAGTAGATAAACGTATAGATGTCAAATGGTTGACTAGTGAGCTCAAGAGGAGTGGTATGGGGACGTTTTAGTCGCCAACTGCAGGTCGTTTTTAACCGGCAAAATGTTTTCTTTAATAAATCTAGCAATTGTGCCGATCATAATGGAAAGTTTCTTGCTTTTTGCTTCAACGATTGAACAAAAATTGCTTTGATTTTAAAGTTGAAAATGTTAGGGAAATACGAATTTTGGTGGGAAGATGGTAACAGTGTTATCATCTACGTCAGTCACCACCAACTGTCCTCCCGGTCCTAGAGCGATGCCCCATGGGCTGTTCATCCTAACGACGGTGCGGACAAACTCCCCGCGGCTTGTGAACATGTCTATCCGCCCGTTTCCGCCGTTAGCCACGATGACTCGACCCGAGCTGTCCGCACAGATGCCCCGGGGAAGTTTCAGTTCGCCCTCGCTGCGTCCAGATCTTCCGAATTCGTATAGCCAGCGTCCGGAGTGGTTGAAGACCTGGACATTGCTGTATTTATAGTCTGTGACGAGGGTCCTTCCTCCGTGGTGCGTAGCGAATAAGAACTGATGAAATTTTCGAGGATTGGCCAGTACCATGCTCATGTAGAATGAGCCGTTTGGATGAAACATCATAATTTCCCCATGCACAACATGTAGGATCACGATGATTTTATTGTTGCGCACGTCTACAGTCATGGCAATGTCTTTTGACCAACCACGCACGCCGAAGTTGGTCAGAGGTACGCCGTCCCGGCTGTACTGTACCACACGTACAGGGTGGTCATAAATATATTTCTTTTGTCCCACTACCCACACATGACCCTCTCCGTCAATAGAGACATCTCTAGGCCGTATTTTCTCTTCGCCCTTCGTTGAGACATTAGTTGGAAAGAGACGCAGAAATTCCCCGTTGATGTTGAAGACTTGGATTCGTGTGTTGTACCTGTCGGTCACGAATATCTCATTGTCGGCAGACACGGCCACTGCGCGGTTTTCCCAAAACTCGCCCGGGGCTGATCCTGTGCCGCCAAAGATGATCTTCTCTGTCTGAGAGTTCAGTCCATGGGTTTCTGTAATAATAATGGATTAAAAAAAGTTTAAAAATTCACCGCTCGAAAAGGTAATGTATTCCTCGTAACTATGAAATCACATTGAAGTCTGACGACTTGAATTCAATACAAATGCAGTGATGTCGTAGACCTATTGCTACATTTTAGGTTTTACTGTAACAGTTGTGATGCTGGGTTACCGGCCTGCGATCCGTCCGTGCTGCGTTAGCATTGGGTAGGGGTTAGCCAATCAGATACTTCCCTTCTGCTGTTGATAGTTGCTAGCCAATCACTTCGCCTATTTGGCCGCAGGGGCGACTTGGCTGGCAGGAGACGATCGCGATTGGCCAGCGCTAACGCAGCAAGGACGAATCGCTGGCCGGTATATACATGGACCTAGCCTGAGAGTTACCTTGTGAGCTGTCTAAGGTTGATGGTGCTTCGGTGCTTTGTGCGTTGTTCGAGGTTTTGAACAGCTTGGCACGTTGTGAACCGCTGATGGTCGATGGAAATGTGACATCTTGAGGGTTGTTGGAACTCTCAGTGTACAGCTTCACCGTAGCACGTTGCGAAATGTTGAATGTTGGTGTCAGTGGGGCATCTTGCAGTTTGACGAAAGTTGATGACACCTGAAGACGATATGATAAGTTCGTACATGAGTTTTCAAGAGCAAGAGAAAACGACATATGTACATGTATCATAACACAAACTTATGATATGGATGAACACACTTAAAACATATGTAGCATATTTGATATATAAGAATGGTTACAGTTTTGGTCAGTGTTGTAGATAAGCAATCAGTATAAAAAGAAATTGACGGAAGTTGAGGTAAGTCTTCTCGATCTCACCGTAAACATGAACATAGGGTCAGTCTTTTCAGTCCTCTCATAACTGCAGTTGGTAGGATGGCCGCCAGGGGTGTAGGTAGTGCCCACAGCTGATGTCGGCTGCAGATAGATTAACACATCGGCAGTTGGTTACACTAGAGGCTGAGATCGATGAGCGACACAATATTTCACAGATCACTTAGCTCAACATAGTTTGTAGATAACGATTTCATCGTTAAAGCTTTAAGCCATCTTTCTGATCAAAAAGTCTTTTTTGTATCAAAGAAATTACCTACAACTAGCAAAAAAGACGAAAGCAAAATACCATTTGAATATCCTGGTTGCTCCCGTTGAAGTATAGCCAGGCAATGGCCCAGGCGAATAGCAGTACCGCCAGGCAGGCAACGGTTACTGCCGCTACGCACATCCGGCGATATGTGCAGCCTAAGTTTCCTATCAGGGGTTTGATAAAGTAGAAAAACATCATCTAAGAAAAGGTTGTCTGGGGCCAAGATAGGAATTGCTGGTTGGGTGGCTTGACTGTTATGACGATGTGTGACTCAAATAATTGGTTAACATGAATATTGGACTATTGCTAACGCTAATTGGAAAACGTTGCAATAGGGTTACATAAAAACAGGAATCCTACACAGGTATAAACTGGTATAACAAAGGGCCTGAGCCGTGATGCAAATAAATATTGCTTCTTGACACCCAAAGCATTATCTGGCAGACAAAGATGTCAGTGACAAATGTATCAGTCTTTTCAGATTGTAAACCAGCAAACGAGTACTTAAAATGTAATTGTCTCTTACCCTTAGCCGTGTCCTTGGGAACGTTTGGCAGGTACATCGGATTCGGCTTCAGAGCTTTTTGAAATGCCGTGTAAGCATCATTCCTGGCCGAGTTACCCTCTGTCATGCCTGCAGCTGTAGGGATGTCATTGCTGGGACCAGAAACACTGTTTTCATTTTGTAAAAGTTCCTTTGGTCGCGTTTCTCCGGACCCCCGATCTTGCTGCGATGAATCCTCGTCATCTGGACACATGTACGCAGTAGCGTATGGTTTGATGCCGTCTATTTGTCCGTTCACGTCTGCAGTACCGACTGCTGTTGATATGGTGTTGCCATCATCATCATCCTGGTACCTAACAGCGTATGGCTGGATGTGAAGATCGTCATCACTGATGGCTGACCTTAGCGTGGTCACATCGTTGTGCTGTGTAGCGCCATATGCCTGCAAGCACACATCGTCATCACTTCTAGCTGGCGAGGCGGCTGTTTCGTCGTCTTGGAGACGGGCAGCAGCTGTGTATGGTTTACTGTTGTTGGTTGGCTTTGAGACGGGTTCGTCAACGTTCTGGTACGTAGCCAGTGTGTGCGCCTGAATCGCTGCATTGTCATCATTGCTTGCTGGTGTGATGGTGGGCTCGGGCTCGTCAACTTTACCACGTGAAGCGGCATGTGGCTGGACGTTGGGGGTGTCCATACCTGAACTGAACGCGTCCGGTTTATGGCCGCCAACGCTTGGCTGGTGCGGCGTCTGGACGTGTTGTGGGTACATCGGGTTGGGATCCCGGACTTTTTCTGCTTCTATTTCAACCGAATTCGGGGTGGTTTGTTTATAAGTGGGGTTCGGGTTGCCGACGTTTTCTGCGTCCATTTGAA